TCTTAGCAAAAGAGAAATTGGCAAGAGGACGAAAATGGCTGTTTACCGCTCTACCTATGTACCGGTCCTGACCTATGGGTGTGAGTCATGGGCAATGACAACAGCTCACAGAAGCCAGCTGCGGGCCTCGGAAATGAGATACCTGAGAAAGGTGGTCCAAGTGACAAAAAAGGACAAAGTCCGCAATCAGACAATACGTCAAGATCTTGATACCCAGCCCTTACTAACCCGAGTAGATCAGTCACAGTTACGATGGTTTGGACATGTATGCAGAATGGGAGAAAATCGGCCACCATGGCAAGCATGGGAGGCTAAGAACCAGGGAACCAGACCACCAGGGCGACCAAGAGTGCGCTGGGAAGACAACATCCGACAGTCCCTAACTGACAGAGGACTGGAATGGAACAAAGCCAGAAAGAAAACTGCTGATAGAGATGTCTGGCGATCTCTCTGGCAAACCTCTACACCCCAAGGTAGAAGAGGAGCGACTAAGTAAGTAGAAGTAGGTAGTAGACTACTAGTAATTTCGTGTGTAGTGCTGCGCACGCAAAAAATCCCTTGGCAGTTGGAAATAGAGAAGAATAGTCTAATTGCGCTGCCCAGGCAAAATTATAAGTTAACAATCTACCTGAAGTTTTCCAAGAGCCTCGCCGGTGCAACGGAGTTCGTGCACTGCGCTGATATACCTCAGACTCAGGCTTGAGTTAGAAGTAGAACGGAGCACTTATGGGTTGCACCAGTGTGTCATAATGTTAATCCCTCGAATAAACATAAACAATATCAAACTATCCAACATCTCTCTTGGTCTACCAATTATTCTGCTGCCGTCTCTCCCAAGCTTTCCTGTTGTCACAACGTATTTTCAGTTTTCCTCTTCTGACTATGAGCCGAAAGAAAAGGACCCTGAAATGCTATGGTACCCGGCATTTGGAAGATGTGCATATTACTGCCCCCCCCCCCCCAAATTTACCACAGAATGCTGTTGTGATATTAATCTAGGCTCATGGATAACATCCGAACGGAAGATGTCTTATAGAGGTGCAGTGCATCATACAGTTAGTTGCGCATCCTTTACAGGATGTTGCAGAAACGACGCCGACCCAAAGGGGTCGCCACCCACAGGCTGAGAACCGCTGATCTAGTAAGAATGCAACCAAGACAACTAACAACGCCAGCCCTGAGCATGACATGATTTGATGTAAAAGCAAGAATTCGCCTTAGGAGAAAGATGGATTGTTGACATTAAATAGCTTCTACCTGGACACGGAATGATAGCACCCATTGCTGCCCGTATGCCATGGGCACAACGCGGGCAGGTGTGCAAATTGATGAAGATGAAAAGGTAATAGGAAAATTATGTTTAAAGGGAACTGTCAGTTTATGTGTATTGTAGTATTCTCTTTCTATAAGATAATAAAAGTCAAAGGCGTTATTTTAGGGCAAGTTCAAAATTTTAGTATCTGGGCACACGGATAACATCATATGGAAGATATATAATAGAGATTAAAAAGAATAGAATAGGGCAGGCCAAAGCTGCATTTGATAAAATAAAGAACATTATATGCAATAAATCAATGTCATTGGAGGTATGGAAAATAATTCTTGCATGCTATATAGAGCCAGTTTTAATATACGGCTGTGAAGCCTGGACAATTAATAAACAAGCCGAACAATATCTTGAGGCCGCGGAGATGTGGTTTTACAGAAGAATCCTTAGAATTCCTTGGACAGCTAAGAAGAGCAGCCCAGATGTTTTGAAAGATGCGAATGCTCGAAGATAACTTATCCCAAACATCAGAAAGAGACAGTCATCATTTGTTGGTCATGTAATGAGACCAGGGAAAATGGAACATGTTGTGACCACTGGAAAGATCTGGGGAAAGAGAGACAGAGAAAGACAAAGTGAGAAAATTCTCAACAGTCATTTGTTATGGCAGGGAGGGGTGTCAACACACGAACTGATACACGCAGTTGCAGATAGCAGATTGTGGAGAGGCACGATCGCCCACGCCAGTCGGCAAGGCACTATATAATGATGATGATGAGGTATTCGGCTAAAATGTTTACAATTCACTCACCAATTATACACAAGAATTTAAAACGAGCTCCAAGAAATCCGACTGCTAAATATTCCACACCCCCTGTGAACATGTTATTGTGCTAGTTATCGGCTTTTCAGTATTTGACTGCCATTGACTGTGTTAGTGGCTTAGCGTCGCGAGTCCGACTCGAAACCCACTGCTAGCTGTGTGGATTTTTATCATGGTATGGGGCGTCGCAGGTCGACCCAGCCGAAAATGGATATCAGGATGGCTGTCTTGGGGAAGTAAAGACTACCGGCGTAATGCCTAGTGCCGATTAGTCTGTAAAAATATGAGTGCTCTTTCCATATGCCCAATGCTCCCAAAAGGCGTGAACAGGGATTAGGAAGAAGAAGAAGAACTGCTATTTGCGTAACTCCAAGTTCCGCTGAATGAAAGACGGCGAATGGACGAGGTTTAGTTGATCTTCCCGCTAGAGAAACGTAATGGACTTTCTGTTTTATATTTTATATATTATTAATTATTTTTTATGTCAAAGAAAAAAAAATGGGCTTCGGCTCATGATAGTAATTACAACAATCAGACCAATAGACACCCATCTCCAGATCCATATTCTGTAGGATTAACATCCCAAAGGTGAGAATGAAACAGTTACAAATCTCTTTTGCCACCATTCCGTCTTTCCAGGCGATAGTGTTATATTGCGCTACGAGGAGTCATGTGACTCACAGTCAATCGAGTATGACTAGCAAGACTCACGTTTTAGGGTTGTGGGGGCGGGGGGAAAAGGGGGGGGGGGGTAAACTGGGGGTCGCCTAAGACCGTCGGAAAACATATATTCATTAAAGTTATAAAGGTAAATAATTGTTTTGTGGTCGCCACAAAATGAGGGAACTGTATTAAAGGGTCGCGGCATTGGGAAGTTTATTAGCCACTGTGCTAAGTTGAAACAAGAGCGACATACGAAGAAAAACAGATGATTAAGCAAATGTAGCATCAAAAGGACTAAAAATTAGTTTTGAAATGACGCATATGTTGAAGTTACCAATAACAGATCAAGCAGAAGTAACATTGGGGACCCCAGCAACAACAACAACAACAATCAAATCAAAGATCAGTTTACCTGTTAGATAGTGATTATTTGGTTAAGGTATTTTTACATTTCAAGTCACGCCCAAATAAAATGGATGAATTCGAAAAGAGTGGAGAAATAAGAGAACTGTCTGGACAACCACTAGTATCAACAGTTAAAAGACAGAGAAGAGGGCGATACTCTGGACACTCTCTGAAAAGAAACCAACAGAGAATCACCAAACATGCACTAAAATAGGAAACAAGGGGTCCAAGGAGGCGAGAACGCCCTAGAGAAACCATAAACAGAGTTTGTGCACTGCGCTATGTTTCTTCGGACTCAGGCTTGAGTCAGAAGTAGAACGGATAACTTATGAGTTACTACCCTTGTGTCATGATGTCGATCTAAACCGAAATGGATGAGACAAACGTTGATGAGAGAGGCCAGAACTGCTGGACTGGATTAAATCCACGATATTGAACTGATTGAACTGGTTCACGCACGGGAGTAGGCAGAAAAGCTACATTTCTTCCAAATTTACTGTATCTATAATGGAATCGAGGCCTAATGGTTGCGATATCCATAGTACCGATCCAAAGGGCTAACAACTCATAACAAATGCGCATTGTCCCATTCATGACTTGATACATAAACTGACTTCTGGGTACTCGACTTGATAGCACCCTTGGTGGCGTCAAAATTGACTTCAGACTTAGTGACAATGAGATGCGACTCGGCTTGGACTTGGGGAGTGACGGATGATTTAGACAACCTCTGATGATGGTACAGAACATCAAAGAACCAAATGGTCTGGTCCTCTGGTTAGAATGGAACAGAATCAAACAGCAGCTAGAGCGCACTGCTTGAGAACAGCAGGCAACCAGTTAAAAAAAAAAAGAAAACCGACCAGGAAAGAGATAAGTGGAGGGAGTAAAAGAGACACTGCAGTAACGCAGTATAATATTAAAACTACGCAACTGTACCGTTAAATAAAAATATTGTTATCTGATGGAGCTTTACTACTTAGAACGCATAGCTAATGAAACGAACATAATATAATAACTATACTTCTGAACAGTAAAGTGCCATTGGATAACTATGGGTTTCTATTTTTTTTCCCCAACATATAGCAAAACAATGGAAACTATACCTAACTGCTATCTGCGACGCTTCACGGCAGGACTATTAAACTGCTAGTTGAAATAAGTTTAGTCAGTGGCAGTATGGTTGATAATATGGTTCGTCAGAGGCCAGAGCCTAGGCGAAGAAAGATCATTAATATCAATACAAACAGTAGTGGTCCACGGGCCACCTGCTAGGTCTCTGCGGGCCAGATTCGGCACGTTGGCCGCTAGCTGAATAACCTTGTTTTACGAAAAAAGCAATGAGACACTGGGGCTTTCAAATCCAGCTGCGACTCGCTGCAGCCACAGCCTGTGTTCGAAACCGGGCGGCTCCAGGGGTTCACCCAGCCTCTAGAAAATGTTTACCAGGGTTGACACTCTGGGGTGAATGGGGGAACGTCGCTGTAGCTACGGAGTTACGTGCGGACGGCGACACAGGCGGCCAGTTTCTTATCAGCTGTCCGTACTGGTGGCACAGCACTTACGGAAATTTTATAACCATGTGCAATGACGCTGGTTCACATCTCCCGACTTTACTTTAACTTTACACCGGAAAGAAATAAGATTTGTTTCGATGCATTACACCTAGATTTGAAAGAACCTTTTCGGGAAGTTTCGGAATAGTGTGTAAACAAAAGTTTCTGTGTATGCGGCCAGGTTGTGGCGGCGCATGTTTGTCCAAGTTTCGTCATTTTTATCTCCGTCGTTAGTCCGAGTTGTGGCGTGTTTTCGTTTCAGAAACCTCTCTCCAGCATCTAATAAATGCCAGGCACTGGGTTAGATGCTTTTGATGAACCTCAAGTTCGCGAAGTTAGGCCACACATGGTAAATCTGAATTAGTTTCGATGAATGTTTGGGTTTAAGTTAAGTTGTGCCGTGACCTTGCTGATGTTGTTTCACTAGTATATGACTATATCATATGTCAACAGCCAACAGTCTTGCCCACAAATCAAACAAAGCCAAGATTCAGATAATATTTTCGTCTTTCAGTTCAGTTTCAAGTAGTAGGGCGTCTGATTTCTTCGAAATTTAATTGGACTTTTCACACGTTTTGCAAACAGCACTCACAAATTAGCAGGATTACACAGACCGACTCCTTCCTTCTTCTGAACATTAAAAACAGTTGTCAGTTAGTTATGAATGTAAATTGTAACTTTTGAGACATTCTTTCGACTGACTGAGACTGATCTCTTATTTTTTTTAAAATTTGCATCTACAAACAGCACATAAGTATAGAGCATATAAGTATGGAGAGTTTCTTGCGATATCATGTCCCACAAACAAAGCATACATTTACAGGTGCCCATGAAATAAGAAAACATACACACAGGGGCCCTGAGATATGACTAAAGTAAAGACTAGAAGACTAGTCTGACATCTGCACTCAGTAGGTCAGTGATGGTCAATATCTCGCTGCTGGCTATCCTTACTTCCTAAGACTTTACTTGGTACCCATTGAAGGCTGGGTCAGCCTGAATCGAAGGTCAGTCCAGACAAAAATCTGCCTGTGTGGACTCGAGGTTAGCAGGCAAGCTTAGCCAGACCACTACTGTGCCGCGGCAGCTTCTGGGATATACCTTTAAATATGTTATGTCGGTTTTCTTCCAAAAAACGGTCCCAAATTATCGAGACAGAAAATATACCCTAACAGGACCTCAGTCACGTGTCAGTTGCGCACTTCCGGTGACTATAACGCCACCGCCGAATTGCGAACTTCCAGGGACTACACCGTCACCACCGAGAGTATCCCCACGCCACATGAGCGGCGTGGATTGGGGCTAAACTAGATGGTTGGGACTCGCAAGCAAATAAAATCAAGGCAGCTGCAGGAAATGCGGTAGCTGCTGCTCGTGAGTCCCAGCTATTTAGTTTAGCCCCAATGAGCGGCGTGGGGGATAATCTCGGCGGTGGCGGAAGTGCGCAATTTAAGTTGCCGGAAGTGTGCAACTGACACGTGACTGATGCCCTGTTAGGGTATATTTTCTGCCTCGATAATTTGGGACCGTTATTCGGAAGATAGCCATTATGTCTGTGGCTTAAGCATTGCAAACACGCTTTATAATTCCTGGGTGCCGTGTTCATCCTAGTTGTAGGCGATTTGGCAGCAGACCACCATGCTTGGTTTTGACAGTGGTATCGAATCGAGGGTTGACCATTCAGAAAGCAGTCACAAACTATTATTAAATTAATGTAAACATTGCTTAGCGGGACCACAAACAGCCAACAAATGCTGGGGCTGGTCCTCCAATGTCCCATAAAGGATTCACAACTAACTTTAAAAATAAAAATTAAGTTGGTGTGTTTGTTTCAGTTGCCATGATTGATTTGTTTACTTGTTTATTTATGTAGTAATTTATACCTGAATTACTTCTTCTCCACTAGACAGATTTAAGATCCAGTATGCAAATAAGACAAAGCAAGATAATATATAAAATGTTTATACAAAAGCACCACTGAAACTACATCAGCCTTACAACTCAAGCCCTCAGAGAGACACCACAAAGGAAAAGAAAACAGGAAAGACCAAGAGAGATCCTGCATAGAACCATAATCAGGAAAAGCTCAACCGTAGGCCTAATTAACATCCAAGACCTAAAGAGGGTGGCAACGAGCCGCCAGACATGGAGAGCTATGACCTCTGCCCTGGGCGTCACCCCAGGTTCAAAAGAAAAGACTAACTTTAAGAGAACAGTTGACATATTATGCAAGTGTTTACACCTAGACTGCGGCTTATGGCCAGACACTCCTTCTTATTATTCACCTTTTGTGACCTGCTAGTTACGAGCAGTGGATCTGTTCCTTTTTCTCCCGAAATTGAGCGCTTAAACCAGAGGCGTCGGGGGGGGGGGGGGGGGGGGGGGGGGGGGGGGGGGGCTAAATGGTACAAACATGTTTTTTAAACCTAGAAAATATGGGCGATTGTGTTTGTGTGTAAAGGGTTGTGTGGTGACCTGTAATCTTCCACACCGGGTAACACCTGATCTTTCACTGTCATTGCCCAGAACCCAGATAGAAAGCACTTGCTTTAATACAGTACAGTATACCAGGCAGTCTCTTGTATCATCTTTGTTTACACTTTTGTAATACTCACTATGTGTGTTTGAAGTAACTGCTGGGAACTAAACATATGGCTGCAAATCCTTGACAATTACTAAACAAGCCAAACAGTTTCTTGATGCCTTGGATATGAGTGTTTTTACAGAAGAATTTTTATAGTTCCTTGGACAGCCACACAAAAATATAGCAACACATATGTTCTGAAAGAGGCAGGGTTCAAAGACAACTTGTCACTAACATCAGACAGACATTATTCATCATATTATGAGAAGGAGGAAACTGGAAAATTGAAACATGCTGTGACTGCTGGATAGATCAGGAAAGAAGAGAGACAGATGTAGATAATGTAAAAAGATTTTTGACAACACTTCGTGTAGCAGAGGAGTCTGTACACAGACCCATTTATGTGTTGAAGATCGCTGATTGTGGAGAGGAATAATCACCCACATCAGATGCCAAGGCACTTGATGATGAGAGGGCTCAAGTAACTGAATACTTACTTTACTTTTAACTAGTCATAAATTTTTTATTTTCAGGCAACTGGACTTATTTTAGCCGGTCTTGGATTGGCTGCTGTTGGCTTAGCAGGTTAGGGTGTTGTTTTTTTTTTTTTAAATTCGTATTTGTGAGTTCCTATTTAATATCAGAAAGAGGGTGCTGAAATGTTACATATATCCTGTTTTGCTGTATGGCAGCGAATCTTGAAATGTCACTGAACAAATTAAGAAGAATGTGGAAGCAACACAGATGTAGTTTCCCATACGAATGTTACGAATACCTTGGACGGCCAGAGTAACTAATAACGATTGCTTGACAGAAGCTAATGAAAGTAGATCTCTATATACAACAGTAAGAAAGAGACAAACACTGTTCTTTAGCCACTTAATGAGAAGAGAGACATTAGAGAACATTGTGACAATTGGAAAGATCAGTGGAAGGAGGGGTAGAGGCAGACTAAGAGAGATGGTGCTGGATGGGCTGAATAACAGCCCCAGATTGTCTAGGTCGAAAACCTACTCTTACAGCCCCTCAGTGATATGTAAAGTTGGGATGGATAGTGGTATTTCTGTTAAGCGACCACATTACGCAAAATTCTATGGGGGGGGGGGGGGGAGGGGGTGGTTAGTAGTCGCTAGTTATTTAACACTAACCCTAATCCAAACCCCTCTATAAAATGTGATTTGGCAGTCTTTCGAATAACGGTCTGTCTGCCATATTTGCCAGAAATAAATCCATCTCAATTTACATATCATTGAGGCCTTGTAAGGGTTGTTTTTGACCTAGGTAATTTGGGGCCATTATTCAGAGGAGTGCCACTTTATCTATACCAAGAAACTCACCATGTTTTCACTGGTTCAAGTATTTATGGTACACATGTTTTTACTTTTCCTACCAAATTCTTCTGTTATGTTAACCCCTTATTTTCGTGTTGTTGCTTAAACAACTTAAACTGCCGTCGAGTACTTACCCATAATGACGGCCGCTATATCTGAGAATTTTTGTGATTTGTGCCTTCTCCACTCCGTAATTGCACTGTAGCCAGGGGACTGAACTCCGACTAATTTTAAGGAGAACCTTCGTCCATCTCTGCATGACTCTCTGTCTTTTTCGAAACTCTCTCTGTCACTCTCTTCTTCAGGTATACCACATCTAGAAAAGACAGGACTTCAGTTTGCTCCCCTCTGCCACCAAGTCTAGAAAAAATGTTTAAAAAAAAAACACTATGCTGGTATACCCATATGGGTGTGCACAAATAAAATAAAGTGCCATATGTGCTACATACACCCTTGAAAAAGGCAAAAATACCTTGCCTCAGTATTACCCCGACACAGCCTTGAAAAAAACTCAGAATACCTTGAAAAGCCTTGAAATTTATTGTTAAATTTGGCTACCAACTCTGAGAATAAGGAATGCTGAACCACATATAGTGATGCTGCACCATTACCGAGGCTTGTACTTGTCAAGATCTTCCTGCAGTTCTTCACGGTCATCCTAGGAGCAGGATCTGTACCAGAGGCCTAGCCAACTTAGATAGGATTCACATTTGCTTCAAAGTCAAGGGTTGCATCTCCTTGATAGGAAAGGTACCAGCAGTTAGCACTCAGATAAGCCAGATCTGTAAAACAGACCTGCACGCAAAACTCAAGTCCTGGAACAAAAATTCCAGAAGTGTGTTTACAATTATGACTTTTTGCCAGAGTTTACAGCCGGTTAATTTGAGGATTATATTGAATAACTTTCTCACCTTGAGAAGGATTTGAAACTAAGATGGCTGGCTCTGCAGAGAGCGGGTGGGGATGTTGAATGTCCTGATCCCCACCAAAGTAACGCCCAGGGATAATCGTAGACTGAGAAGGAAACTCTCACATCAAAACAGCAGGATTAATAAATAAGAGAAACCTGGCCTCAAGAGCAAAGTGCAGAGAAAGCTGTGGGGAACCACAAGGGAGGGGCCTGCAGCTGACATGCATATTCATAGAGGCTACCCACTTGATGATCTGACTTGAACATATGAAACTGAATGTGAAGAAGGAAGAGAATAAGAATCTAAAAAATGTTGAATTAAGAATCGACATCACAACATTCAGGACACTCCAATAAGTGCTCAGTCCCCATCTTCAGCAGCTAGCGAAGAGTTCCAATTCCGATGGTATAATAATCTAAGATTAAGTTGATAGGTAGCATCCTAGCCACTGTGATACTTCAGCTCCCCAAATGTTGACTGCAAGGACAATCCTGTATAATCAATGAATCATTTGAAATTCCATACTTGTAAATTAAAAAAAAATTTTTTTTTAATGTATGAGTAATTATTTAGCACATTGAGCTCAGTGAATGAGTACAATATAGTTTTTTTTTAAATATATTAAAGTTTTTTTGTTGACGAGCTAAATAAAAACAGTATTGTACCATTTGTGAATATTGATTTTCCTCTCAGTCAACTATATTGTTCAGATATGAGTTCTGCATTCTGTTCTAAATGTCACAGCTAGGGAAAATGAACATTTGTTCTGAGGAGCACTCCACATTCTGTGGCCATTCTGTATTCTATTGTTCTTGTTATTAATTCAAAAACTGCTGGATTGTCCAGTGAAAGAAACTTAATTCTAGCATTTCAGTGTTGTAGTATATCGCTAAAGTGTATTTAATACTTACAAAACATTAAGGACCCTTTCCCCTGCCTTTAGCCGTAGCGTATTGGATATGTAGTGCTAGACCTGTATTTTATCATAAAGACCAATTGGCACTTGGTGGGTGATATGGTCAACACCACCCTGACTGCCTTTACTTCCCAGGACTAAACTTGGTACCTACTCACGGCTAGGTAGACTTAGGAGCCAGGCAGAACCCACGATCTTCCAGTTGGCAGAGAAGTGTCTAGCCGCTACACCATGGCGACTTCCTTTAAAAAAAAAAATTTATAAAAACTACTTTTGTTCTGGTGTAGCCCTATACTTTCTTTTTTTTTCCAGCAGACTTCCCCTTTGATACATTTCTCACTCTTTATCTGGTTTTAAATCTGTTGAGGGACCACGAAAACAGCCTTGATGTGCGCCAGAATGTTCAGTGAGAATTGTTTCTCCAGACATTGACCTTGCCCCCCAAGTGGCAACATCATCAAGTGCCTTGCTGATGCAGGGATGATTATGCCTCTTCACAATGTGCCATGTTCAGCTGCATGTATCATTTCACACAACACCTCCATGCCATGACAGAAGACTTGTCAAGAATCTTTTCATATTATCTTCCTCTGTCTCTTTCCCCACAGATCCTTCCAGTAGTTCACCACATGTTCCTGTTTCCTTCTCCTCACACATGACCAGAATTCTATGATTGTCCGTTTCTGATATTTGTGATAAGTTGTCTTTAAGCCCTCACTGTTTGCAAAACATCTGGGTTGCTTTCTTTTTGGCTGTCCAATTATAAGGACTCTTCTATAAAAACCAGTTCTCTGAGGCCTCAAGGAATTAATTAACCTGTACTTCATTTAATTTACTGAAAATAAACTTGTTTACAAAGAGCAAACTTAATCTGTATTGCAGGTAGATTTGCTCTGCGTGCAGGCAAGCTAGCACAGACTACATTAAACCAGAAATTTGGAGAGCTTCCTTCAGGGGTAAGTCTGCTTAGTGTTAACTCCGTCCATTGCAGTTCTGAGATATATTTGTCTCAAATGATGAAGTGAGATTATTGGAATCATCAGGATTCCCTGTGGATTCTGGAACCCCATTTTGGGGAAACAACCCACTGCCCTTCTAACAGGTTTTGTTTTAAAAAGTGACTAATTATGAGCTTCTGGTGATGTATAATGTGGTAGTTTCCCCTTGCTTTCCACACACTTCAACTTCAGCAATCTATTATATTTGCCAGGATGGGTGAGTACCATGTAGAGCACCGACCTTTGCGAAGGTGGATGTAAGACATTGAAATTGCATTTGCTGTAAAAGCACATAGGGCTAGAGAAAGAGCAACTTTCATGCTGGACGGGAGTAGAGACTGAAGGATGTGCTATTTGATGATGTCAAATTTTAAGGTTGCTGAAGAAGAATAAGTATCGTCAAGTACTTTGTCTGGCATAAGCTATTTCACTTCTCACATGCTGTGAGCTATTACACTTCTCACATGCTGTGATCTTAAATAATGCAGACACAAAGCATAATTTATTACCAGGCATGTTGGGCATATATTTGCCTCCTGTCTCATTTACAGAATCAAACGCAAGATACATACTTGATGCAAAATCACAACAGCTAGGTGTGACAATTCATAAGGAAAAGACAACAATAATCAGAATAAATGAGGCTAAGAGTAATGTGATTTCTTTTAATGGTACTCCACTCCAAGACGTGGAGTCATACACCTATTTCGGCAGCAGTATAGATAAAGATGAGGGAACTGATAGAGATATGAAAATATGAGCTTTCATAGCACTAGGGAATTGGTGGAAGTCAAAAGAAATTAGAACTTATACTAAACTTAACATTTTTAAATCTAATATCAAATCAGTACTTTTTTGTGGAGCTGAAACATGGAGAACAGCTAAGGCAATAAACTATAAACATTCATTAACTGGTGCATGATCAGAATAGGGGGAATTAAGTGGTATGATAGAATCACTAATGTAGAGCTTTAAAAGAACTAAACAATTTTCACTGGACTAAGAGTTGAAGAAAAGAGCTGGCGTTGGAACAGTATAACTAGAATGTCTTTGTACCGGAACCCACAGGGGCATAGAAATAAAGGGAGACCAAAAACACACAGAGAAGGGGGCTAGAGAGTTAAGTTTAAAAGATGGGGAGAGCTGTAAGTGATGGCAAAGGATATGATGACTTGGCGTGAGTTGGTTAAGGGCCTATGCTCCATTGGGGGTTAGAAAGGCAGAAGAAGAAGATAATTGTGCGTTGTGTCATCAGGTGCATTACTACAGTTACCTCAACATATAAAGAAGAATGAAAACTGAAGACAAACTAAATTCCACTGAGATGCAAATGGTCACTCTCAATGAATCGTGTTCATGTGATCATCTGTTTGAAGTTTGAACAACGGATCATCATCATAGCACACAGGTAGTAACCTTAAGTGCTCCATTCGTCTTCTAACTGAAGTCTGAGTCCGAAGAAGCTCAGCACAGTGCACAGGCTCTGTGACACTGGTGAGGATTCAGAAGTACTTTTGGGTAGATTTTTAACTTCAAATTGTACCCTGGCGGCGCTGTTAGGCTACTCTTTTCAATTTACAACAGCCAAGGGATGTTTTTACGTGTGCCACAATGCACATGGACGTCCGATCTCTAGGGTAAATACTAGAAGTCCAAGTCCATGTGAAAAAATCCCAGTCCTTACCGGGCATTGAGCCCAGAACCTCTAGCACTTGAGGCGGACACCATGCCTCAAGGCCTCGCAGCCCCCCCCCCCCCCCCATGTGATCATCTGAGGAGTTACAGCGAAATATGCCTTGCAGTAAATTGTGCAATGCATTGTATATGTCTGCTTTTTTAAAATTCATTATGGAAAAACATTGTTTTGAATGTTATGATCACCGTGTTTCATTTGGTTACTTACTCTGCTTCTTTTAAGAGATGAACTGCAGGATAAGAAGTAAGTTATTGTAAATAAATATCCTAATTCTTAAACCAGCAAATCCCAGTGTGGATCTCCATATGTGCTGTTTGGCAAGGACGGATGTTGTCTGGGCAGTCCTGGGCATGATTTCTGGTCTGAACCCTAGGCCACTTAAAATTGATCCTAGTTAGTTTGTTAACAGATTATCCTCATTGCACGTTGAACCAATCAGTCTATAAGTGCTTGCCCTTCAGTAAATCCCACATCATGTAGCGGTTGACGACCCAAGTTCTGTGTTGGTTTATTATTATTCTTTGGCTACCCGCGTAGTGTTCTTGTTTTGTAACACCCCGTTTTACTTGCTGTTCTTGCAGTCTGACCATGGTTGCAGATTCACAGTTCTCACAATTGGTTTATGCAAATGTCGTAAATCTCTTAGAGCATTCAGTATATCAGCCTGGCCCATGGCTTGTCCAGCTTTCACAGTAGCCTTACCTGCAAGTCTATCAGCTTGCTCATTTCCTTGTACCCCTACATGTCCTGGCACGAAAATGAAACTAATCCTTGTCAGCTGTAAATGCTGTAGTGCCACCAACCACTGCCTTCGGACCCAGCCCTTCTCTATCTTCCTGAGCATACTCATTGAGTCACTGAGAAAGCATGCCCCAGTGAAAGTCTGTGTCTCTAGCCATGTTATTGCTTTAGTCACATCCATCACCTCCAAAGTCAATTGATCCTAAACGTTTGAAATGATTGACTTGTTCTAATTTGTGACCTTTACTATACATTGGTGCAGTTATACCAGCTGGATTATTAGTCACTATTTTCCTTCTGTTATACACACAAACACATGCTGTGTCCTGTAAAAAGTTGCTATGGTTGCTTCAAATGCTGCATTATTTTTCAGTCTTTCAGTAAATACTACAGAGGTGGGTTTGAAGCCAAAATGAGCAGAAGAGAGGCTGGGCTGATTCTAGGAGTCAGGTAGGTGGTGCTAGCAGCAAGGAATCTTCTTTGTTAATTATTTATAAATAGGATTGCAGTGTAATCATGTGAGAGCAGGACCTGGTTGTTGCAATTGTAATCTATTTCTTCTTCTGCGTTCTTCTGAAGATATACAAAATTGCACTAAAAGGCGTTACCAGGGGATCTGACCAAACACTCAAGGGAACGGTGAGATGGAGATACAGTTACTAGTGCCATTGGAATTGGAACTGTTCACTTGCTGCTGAAGATGGAGACCGAGCACATATGGGAGTGTCCCGAGTGCTGTGATGTTGTTCTTAATTAAACATTCCAAAGATTTATTTGCATTGTGCCCGTTTACAGCGTGGATGTGATATTTGCCTCTTGCGGCTGACACATCTAACTTCTGCAGGCATTTGTTGACCGAGTAAACCTTCCCAGTGGGGTCTACTTGATAGTAGGAAATTAGTGAAAGGGGAAGCTGGTTAATTCTGAAAGAACTACTGTCTCCCCATGTGGGTTTCTGAGCCCAGTTATGGGGAAAACGGGAATAGACCCACTGCCTCCCTGACAATCGTGTCGTAAGAGTCGACTAATAAGGGTCTTCTTCATAGTACATCTGCCCAAGAGGCAACGGAACCTGAAGTCTTCCTACACATTAGTTTATACAGCGGATCAACATTCATGGCACAAGAGTATCTCCCATAAGTGCTGCCTTCTACTTCTAACTCAAGCCTAAGTCTAAAGAACCTCAGCGCAGTGCACGAACAACTTAGCACCGGTGAGGATCCTACAGATAAGTCAGATCTGTAAAATGGATGCGCATGCAGCACCCAAGTTCCAGAACAAGACTAAACTTCAGAGGTGGACAGCAATCAGAATTTTCTACCGGAGTTTACAGCTGGTGAACATGAAGAAGAAAAAAAAACAAAATTTCATATTTCTTCCATGTATAAGATGCTCCCCTGTTGTTTCGTCCCCAGAATTAAGAAATAATTATTTTAAACACGTTCCATGTGTAAGATGACACTCAGTTTAAAAAAAAATTTTGAAAGATATTGTTTTTTACCTGGAAAATAGGGTTCATGGTTTGAGTGGGGACTGGTCTTTAAGAATGGAAACTTTTTAGAGTTACGGCCCTTGTCACTCCAGCTTTGTCTGCCTAGTGTTAATTCCTGGTAGGCCAGCCACATATCAGACATTGTTGTGTCAGGCAATTTTCTAGCTGGAAAGAATTGTCATTTATCTCGTAGATACATCACCTAAGTTATGTTGTGTATTCTGGTCCATAGCTGCAACATTCACTTGTCATTTGTGAAATTGTTAAGCTGACTTGCTCTACTTTTGATTTGTAAATTATTGGGCCTTCTAATCAATAATTTCAATTTGTGCAGCCCTTCAGCCAGCAAAATCAAGATAAAAGAAGCACACAAGCGTATCATGTTGCTCAATCATCCAGACAAAGGTGAGAGTGCCCATTGTCTTTGTCCTATTGATAAGCATTTCTGCTGTAAGCTGTCTTTTGTTGTTCATAACTGAAATGTCATATTGTAGTTGTATTGAGAGAAAATGTGCATGCCTCAATTGCCATTCATATAGATAAACATATTTAAAGAGACAGCAGATTGACAGAAAATATTGATTTAGTTTTATTCACTGTATCTGCATTTTTATTTTATATGTTTTATTTTCTTTTTATTTCAGGAATGAATTAGATTTTCAGTTTAAATAACAAGATATTGTCCTAATATGCCATGCTGCGTAGCATAGGAGGTTATGGTGTTGTTGATTAGGTAGTTCCGATTATTTGCATGTTGTTTTCAGAATTTGCATTAGGTCTTTTCGGTTTAAAATTTCTAAATGCCATTTGGTCAAACTGTTTAGTTATTTATCTTCTTGGCCTCTGTCTTCTGCTTGCATGTTCCTGTCAGTGGTGGCACAGTTAGCATTTTTTCTTCTTCTTATGATCCGTGTCATGCAGTAATGTCGTGACAATTTTGTGTATGTATATATATACCGGGAGTCGCCATGATGTTGGCGGCTAGACGCCCAGGTGTGGATCAGAAGGTCATGGGTTCGTGTCCTGGCTGAGCCTTTTTAATTTTTTTCAAAACTGACCTTGACTCCCAGGTCGACCCTGCCTTGAGTGGGTACCAGGTGCAGTTCTGGGAGGTAAAGGTGGCCGGCGTGATGCTGACCACATCACCCACCAAGTGTTGATTGGTTTATAGAAATGTATGTCTAGCTCTGTATTCCCAATAGGTCTAAAGGCATGGAAAAGGGACCTTTACTTTCACTTTTATATATGTTTAGTGAGAATTTTAACTTTTAAGCATATTGCATGCGCGCAACATTATAATGATTGAGGGGACATAAATATAGACAAGATGGGGTAGATTTAGTAAAGCCTTGTAATTGGACGGTCGGTGTCTGTGGCTTCTTGAAGTTCATGCCGTGTGGCATTCATTGGTAGTCATGTCTATCCACTACCTTCTGTGTTGTGTACTTTCAGTCAACCCTGACACAGATGATCCTCCAACTTTCCTACTGTCTCACTCACAAAGTACTCCAGTTTTCTCCTTCTGATCTCATGACCGAAGACTGTAGATTGTCTCTTTCTGATGTGGGCAGTCGGTTCTCTCCTTGAGTCAGTTTATTTCAAGACACCTTCATTGCTCTTTTTATCTGTCCAGGGTATTCTCATTTGTCTGTAAAACCACAGATACGAAAGAATTTTTCACTAATCTACCAGCTGTCCATATTTCACTTCTCTATATCAAGATAGGATTTATATACCTTTTGAAAATTATTTTCCTTATCTCAATTAATTTTGAAAACAAATGCCTTAGAAGAATACTAAATTTCAAATGGTCAGATTTCCGAACCAATACACAAATAAGGCAAAAATCCAGGCAAGAGTATGTGTCTAATTTTATACGAAAATGCCGCAGGAACTATGTCGGCCACGCCCTTGGAATGGATAAATCAAGACTTCCTTACCAAGCCCTCATTTGGACACCACAGGGGAAAAGATCTCGTGGAAGACCAAAGGAAACTACGTAGAACTATCATCAGGGAAGGCTTGCTCATGGGCCACTCAAACATCTAAGACCTACAACAGATTGCAACGAACCGCCATGCATGGAGAGTCATGACCTCTGCCCTATGTGCCGCACTCGACACAAGAGGAAAGACTAACTAACTAACTAATTGTCAAAGACAGATGGCATAAAATAGTCTTCATGTTGTCAAATGCTGCCTTTGCTTGAGGTGTACTACATTTAGCTTCTGTCTGTGACTTGGGTGCTGCAAATGTGCTTTATGATTCTGAGGTGTGGGTTTGATCCTGGCAGCAGACCACTTTGCCTTGGTTTTGACAACATTAGTATCTATAGCTACCGTTCAGAAATCAGTGGTAAACTACTGAACATAGACCATTGCTGTGTGAAATCGCAAGCACCCCAACAATGCTTGGTTTGGCTCTGCAGATTCCTGTGAACTATACACAGCTAACCTTGTTTGTGGGAAGAGAGAGGGGGGGGGGCATAAAACTAGTTTATAAACGGAAAAACTTTAGCTAGTTTAAATTGAATTTTCACCAATCGGATGTCTCCTATATTTTAATTGCAGGGAATGTGTGATTGGCTCTTTACAGTGAACCCATCCATGGCCTAATGTCTTTCTGTTTTGTTATGTTCGGTCAAAGTCTAAAAATCTGGACATTTTAACTATTGAAGACACTCTTCTTGATTTGTTTGTTATTGTGTTTATATTGGCAATTCTGTCCTGCAGAAAACTTGAGCCACAAAGCCAAATCTGCCATGAACACATTTTTAGAAAGACAAAAATTGAATATTTCAGCAAACAAAAATTAAGTCTGGCTTCTCTCTAGATGAATTACTAAGTGATTTCAGAAGAATTACGAAACAATATTGAGAAGAATTACAAAGCAATATTGAAAAGAATACAAGCAATATTTAGAAGAATTATGAAGCAATGTTAAGAAGAATTACGAAGCAATATTCAGAAGTTACGAAGCAATACAGACAGTTTGGAAGATCTCATATCTCTTGCCCACATCCTTTCAACTAAGGATATCTCCAGAGTTGTGCACATCACATGTAATGGGAGAAATTAACTATAACAAAACACAGAGGTAAATACTGTAAAGACAAGGAGGAGCTACAGGAGATAGCAAATGTATGGTTTGCTTGCTTGAGTTGATTGAAGATCTGTGGCTCAACACGTGATTAAAAATTAATTTGCAGATGTCGTTTGTAATTTCTTTTACTTGTAAAATTAGCTGCAGCATGCAAAAGATATCTGGCCACTGCTTGTGTTTGTTTGAATTTTTATAATTGAGACATCTCCGTTATGGAGAAAACTGTTGAGGATTAAAAAAGAACGTAAATTTACATGTCATCTTTAAAGCTAATTTTTTATTTTTCATTTCAGGTGGGTCGCCTTATATTGCAGCAAAAATTAATGAAGCGAAAGATCTCTTTGAGAAATCCCGACCTGGTACGAGTTGAGCCTTGGATGATTGCTGACTGCTGTGTTTGTGAAGTCTTTCTGTTGTTTTATTGACATTTATATGCATTTTTTTCTCATAGTATGTGTGCTGTCTGCAGTCGTTATGCTAATTTTGTAAATAATTTGTGCTGTGTAATTCTTTTTTATGTAAAGAAGGTTGTTGAGTGCAGTCATGATGTGTATGCTTAGTTGAGCCAGAGTCTGGTATGTTATTGATAGAATGAGTTGGTGTCACTGCATTTGGGATAAGAACTTCAGTTCTTTCTGTCATGGCAGAAGTTGAATAGGGTGGGTTCTGGTCATCTAAATTACTGCAGTCTGGTCACTTATGTGTCCTAAATCATAACAAGAGAGGTCAGATCCCTTTAGGGAGCTGTTGGAGTAACAAGACTAGGTAAATTGGAAGGCGAATAGGACTGAAACAGTTCATTAAGAAACACTAGAAGAGATGTTTTGACAATCTGACGAAAATACCCTAGTGCCAACTGCCGCAGCGAGCCATGTCAGAAAAATGTAAGGAAACAGAACCAGTGAAGACTTGTAAAAAGTGGAATGGCAGCATTAAGAACACATTTAGAAATAGAAAGGTCCCTTTTCCACACCTTCAGGCGTTTTGGGTATATAGGGCTAGACCTGCATGTTTATAGACCAAACGGCACTTGGTGGATGATATGGTCAGCACCACGCCGGCCGCCTTTACTTCCCAGGACTGCGCCTGGTGCCCACTTGAAGCTGGGTCAACCTAAGAGCCAAGGTCATTTTTTGAAAAAAGTCGGGACCCAAATCCACAATCTTCCGATCCGCAGGCAAGTGTCTAGCTGCTAGACCGCGAGGCTCCCACCTTTAAGAACTAAACGTCACTATTTACAGCATATTAGAAAGAGAATACAGATAATCCTTATACCCCTAACTAACATCCAACATAGTAATAAGATAACTAGAGGAGGAAAAGGTTAACCACCTATCAGAACTGTCCTTGACTGCTATTGTTTCAGCCATGTCCATACTTGAATGTATAAGAAACCACTTGGTATAATTTAGACAAGAATACAGACCTTAACTCTTTTGAGTCCCCAGGAACGTATCATACTTTCATAGGTTCCTACCTAGAAGCCCAATTAACACATGGTGCACAGATTTTATGTCTCTCTTTATACCCCTTGGGCCTGTAATGCTAAACCCGCCTGGACACAAAGAGTTAACAAAGACTGATGATCATGACAACTTATGCTTATTGACATAGCTTAGTTAGTTAGTCTTTCATCTTACACAGACTCTGTCATGGTCTTCCGTAATTTCTTTTCCCTTCCGGTGTCTATATAAGGGCTTGATTGACATAGCACATGATGTTTGAAGGTTCTCTGGTTAAAAAATTAGTAATTGAATAGATTTTGTTAGGAGATATGCCTGAACAGTTGATGAACATTCACCTAATTCCCTACCTAGTATACCCACTGGAAGTTTTCAGTCTGTAATTTTGGTGCTTCCTGCATGATTTGGACAGTTGATCCATTCAAGGTTTTGAAAATTGTAGGCCATCACAAGCTGCAGTATTATTCTGCCATCCGTTCTGTGCTTTCCAAAACGCTATTCAAAATTAAGGTGGCTGTTGTTAAGAATTGAATAGACCCAAAATACAGATAAAAAGTAAAAACGACTGGCAAAATCAGTAGATGAACAGTTTCTTTTTAATTGCATATATTGTCTTCTGCATGTTTGGTTAAAAAATGTAATTTTATCATATATGGCTGTTGTATGAATGATTATTGCTGTTATTTGTTGGTATACTCATGAGAAGGGTAAGATGAACACTGATGATGATACTTCTCTTGTGTCAATAAAGGTGACACCTTGAGCAGTATTTATTGATTAACCAGTGTGATAGTTTCTCCTTGCTTTCCACAACCACACTCTGAATGGATGCTGAAAAAAAGGTGAAGACAAGATTGCTTCGAGCAGAGTGGCTAGCTTCACTTGCAAGGTCACAGGTAGTGAGCATACTTTGGATCTTATCTCCAGGCCATGCCAGCATGGTGGGCAATGAACAGAACAGATAGATTGGCTAAATCTGCACCACTGGGTGGTGAATTGATACGTTATAAGGCAGATGTGGTCAGAGCCCTATGGGAACAAGTAATGAAGTCAGAAGAGAAACTAGATAATTATGAGCTGGAGAGAATGATGCACCTGGGTGTGACCAGAGGGTTAGGCTGGCACACTACACTCAGAGGAAAGGCAAGATGGACATACAGCGGGACAACAACTGGCACCATTAGTATTGGAACTCTGCACTAGCTGCTGAGTATAGGGATAGGGCCCATATGGGAATGCCCCAAGTGCTGTGATGTCAATTCTTGACTCAACTGAACTCCACAACCATATGATTTTAAATCTGTTTTTTTTATAGAAACAGAAGCAGTTAGTTGCAGTGGTTCTAATTAAACTTAGTCTTAGTCAAGATTTCAGTATCACCGCAATCTGGTTTTCTCATACTTGCATATTTACTCTGTTTAAATTTACTTTTTGTTGGGGGGGGGGGGGGGGGGGGGGGGGGCAATTTTAATGTGCAACACTCTTATTAAAGCTATGCTGGGGAGAAAGTTGGAAGAAGGGTATGCAAGAGGTGAGACACATGGAAAGGTACCCTCAGATGACTGATGAACACCAGTCTGTTGAAGTATAAAATCAGGGCTGGAAATCTGTTACAGTGATCTAATTGATATTGTTTGCATGGTTAGTTTGTTAAAGGCAATGAGGAGCATTTGGCCGATTGGTTAAGATCATATGTCCTCATGTATGCCACCCAAGTTCGAATCCTCAGTAAGAGTGGATTTTTGTTTTCTGTCGAGAGCAGTGTGAAAATCCTCACCTGCACAGTCCATGGCACACAGCACTAGCCTTGTGGCCTTAAATCCTCAGGCTCAAAGACCCTCCTGCTCACACCCCTAAGTGGTAAATATAGGCAGTGATGGTAGTTTTTTTGTTTGTTCATTACTGTTCTCATTTGTTACTACCAAGTGCATAAAGAATATTGTGTAATGAGTGAAATAAAGAGAATGCAGAAAAACTCAGTGTTGTTTGTTGTTTTAAAGCAGTCTTATTGCTTTTGGGGAGTGGTGGAGCGGCTGGACTCTCGCCTACGGATCAGAAGGTCGTGGGTTCGCTCTCTGGAGGAGCCGGAATTTTAAAAAAAATGACTTCGGCTCCCAGGTTGACCTAGCCTTGAGTGGGTACCGGGTGCAGTCCCGAAGAGTAAAGGCATCCCACGGGATGCTAAGCACATCTCCCATCTATAAAATATAGATCTAGCCCTATATGCCTAAAGGCTTGGACAGGGGTCCTTTACTTACTTTACTTACATTTGAGTCACTTTTTCTGTAAGGGAGAGCTGCTGTAACACAGTGCCAAGCATGTATGCCTCCTAGCCTAGTTGTCATATGTTTGAATCTACTTCAAGGTAGGAATTTCTTTGAAAGAATTTAGCATAGACTTCTGTACTGATCCAGCCTAACATAAATACCAGAAAATGTTGCTGTTAAGAAAAGTGGCAAGTGGGATACTGACTGCATCACCCATCAACTACTGAGTTGAGTTGATTCAAGAACCGCCATCACAGCATTCGGGGCATTCCCATAAGCACTCCATCCCTATCCTCAGCAGCCAGTGAAGAGTTCCGATACTAATGGTGCCAGTAGCATTCTGATTAAACGTCTGTCTTGCCTTTCCTCTGAGCCTCGCGCATCTGCCAGAACCTCTCATCACTCCCCGCTGCATCAATCTCACCAGACTGGTGATCCATCTGCTACTCCAAACAGTACATACTCTCCCACAAGGCACTAACCACGTCTGCCTTATCATGCATCAGTATTCCACTAAGTTGTGCAGAACAAACCAGTCTGTCTGCCTGTTCACTTCGCAACACACCGGCATGTCACCTACTGGGGGGTCTACAAAATATGGAGATAGCACTATGTAACGATGAACACCAGTTAAAGCAAGCCAAAAATATATGGGGATCATTTTTTTTTTCAGAAGAAGGAAGAATTAATAAAGAAATCCAACAAATATGCAATAAAGTTTTAGGCCAAAGGGTACCAATTTTGAAATGCAAGTGTGTCAATATGAACATTAAAACACTAAAAGAACACTGTTCAACACAATATTCTTACCAGTGCTATGATTTCAATGTCAAAGATGGACAATGTCTTCAAACGACAGAAGGTGCAAGGTGTAACAAGGAAAAATCAACTTAGGAACGATGATATCAGGAGGAGAGTCAGCACAGAACCAATACTGAACTTTATAAGTAGGCAACAAATCAAATGGTTTGGCCATGTAACAAGATTGGTATCAGACAAGGCACCACAGAGAGCATTGTTAAACAGATACAGCAGTAACAGCTAGAGGTCGACCGCACAGAACATGGACCACAGACACACTAAAAAAGTACTTTATATGAAGCAAACAGAAGGGCCTGTTCGAGAGATCTCTTCCTGCCCTGATGTCTCTAGGCATTCCAGGAGTAGTGTCAGAGGCCAGTTCGGCTATAGGACAGACAAATCTGATGATAGTGAATCATCACGTATGAACGAGTTGACCTTCAGTAAAACTCAGTATGAGAGCGGGCAGCTTGACCACGGAATAAACTGGGTCCAGTTAACGGGCCAAGCCCAGTTCACACAGGTGACACGGATTACTGCGTGGTCAAGCTGCCCGCTCTCATACTGTAAGTAAAGAAAAATAAGCACTGTGTAACTAACCAATCTGCCTTAATCAGTCTGTTTCATTGGAAAAATACATTACAAACTGTATAAGATCACATCTGCATTTGAAATAGATTGTTCAAATTGGGCTTTGAAATGAGCTTTTCAGTAATAAGAAGAGCATTTAGAAAATAGTGTCTGGAACAGTTGGATTTTGATGAATCATTCATAACATTGTTTAAAAGGTTTGAGCTGAATATTTATCATCCCATAACATTACGTGTCATTGTGTCACCAGTTTCTGTTGGCTGTCTGATCAGTTCTCTCCACATTTGAAGCCACGGCTATTACTCTCAAGAAAATTTATAACAAGAAATAAAAGTTTGAGTATTTGCAATTCTTCTTCTTCTTCGCGTTCACCAGCTGTACACTCTGGCGTAAAGTTCTGGTTGTTCGTCCACTTCTGGACTGCAGTCATGCTCCAGAACCTGAGTTTTGCGTGTGCATCAGTTTTACAGATCTGATTCAATTGAATGTAGACTGCTGGTTCCTTGCCTCTCAGGCAGATGCACTCCGACTTCAAAGGAAGCTCCCCAGGTAGTCGACTCTTACGACATGCTTTTGGGGAGGCAGTGGGTCTATTCTTGTTTTCCCCACAATAGGGCCTCGGAACCCACACGGGGGTATTTGCAATTGATTGGTAGATTATTTGGATTTCTGTAAAAGGTAAAGGTAAAGTCGGGAGATGTGAACCAGCGTCATTGCACACTGTTATAAACCATAAGTTCTCTGCTCTCAGTATGGACAGCTGATAAGAAACTGTTTGCCTGTGTTGCTGTCTGCACTCAACTCCGTAGCTACAGCAACGTTCCTCCATTTACCCCAGAGTGTAGTACCCATGACCTAGAGGCTGGGTGAACCCTGGTAACCGCCCGGTTTCGAACACCGGCAGTGGGCTGCAGCGAGTGGCAGATGGATTTGAAAGCGAGTCTCCTATTTCATTTGAAATAGAGATAATAGCAGGATCCATAAAACAGTTGACAGAACCAGAGCCCCAGTAAATGTTATTGTTGTTTGCATATGAAGTAGACAGGAAGCAAGATGTTTCATTTCTTGCAGGAAAGTGAACTAGCAAACAGACAGTTCATAAATCAAAGTGTCTTTGGGATAAAAATAATATAATTAATTCTTTTTCTTATTTTGTTCACTTAAAATAAATTATCTGTATCTGCAGTGTTGACTCTAGTACACTGCCTTGTAATTCACTCAGCGACCCGTAAAGTTAGACTTACACTGATGTTTCTCTTGGCCAGAAGTTTTGCCTTGATATGTTGTATTTGGGACAGTCTTGGAGGACATGGTGTGTTGTCTCAGGTGCCAGTCCACATGTGCACATGGCTGATTTGCCAATTTTATATTTTGTGTTTATGGTTAGTGGTGTATTCTTTACAGGACGTTGAAGAACCAACCCCAGCAGCATCTGGCTGTTGTGTGATTTCTCTAGGCAAATTTAAGTCCAGTAGTTTGCCATTGCTTTCTGGACGGTCGGCCCCCTGATACCACTGTCAAAACCAATGCAAGGCGCATGACCCGCAGCTGGGATCGAACCCGGCACCCTAGCATTATGAAGCATTCGCATCGACTTAGCCACAGAGCCGACCTTTGTGTATATAAATAATAATAATCGTAAATTTTAGTAAAGTAAAACTGAAAATATCCCCCCCCCCCCCCCCCCCCCCCTTCCCCTCCCCAAATGCATTTCAAAAATATGAAAAACCATATCCTGAAGATGAGAAGAAACCATACTATAGCTTTAGATAAGAATAAACCATACTAAAGCTTTTAGATTGACTCCTAATTTACACAGCTCTCATATTACTTGGTGCTACTGGATGTGCTAAAGAGACAAAACATTGCATCCAAAATCAATCGATGAAGCGTCTGGTCTAACTAAGTAGGTTGAATAATACATGCTTTGATTTTATTAAAATCGTCCTGATTAGTAAAGACAAAGTTACTATACATTTTTTAACATTATTTGTTTCAACAGTTTCTCCCACATGCTGATAAAGATTCAACTAATTGGGATTTTTCTTCTTTTTTATTTTCCTTCTTAAAATTTTAAAGAATCAAAACCTCACCCTATATCATATAGACATGGTACAAGCATATTGTTTACTAAAACTTTTTAAGTTTTAGTTTTCATAGGACTTGTGAACACCTTCTCTCACCCTTTCTCTTTGATCCTTAAATTTGTATTTGATTTCATGACAATCATATTATTTTAGTATGTGCACATCTAGTTTACTTTTTTGGGACTGACGAATACAAAAGATCAGACAAATCTATTGTCAGGCAAAATCTGGATGAGCATGTATAATGTTTTCTCATGTCAGCTGTAATTAATATTAAAACATTAGAAAAATGAACTTAGATTTATAGATATATATTATTGTTTTATTGTGAAGCTATCACATGTAAACATATTTTCAGGCTGGATGTACAGATTACATACAAAGTAATGAAGTTCATTTATATACAGCATCTTGCCAATGCAGTGTTACAGTGTCTTTGTGCTCAATTTCAAGCAATACTTATGATTACTGTAACATTACAAACATGCGTGGTCATGTGTAACATCAAAGGGGATTTAATCATACCAACTGGTTAAGCAGTTACATCTTTTTAACTCTTTTGGTAAAACAGCTGTTGGTTTAACCCATTTTCTCTAAAGTAATTTGAGCGAAAAAGTAATCTTGCATCTAAAATAATAAATACATCAAATAGATGTACATTCTATGAGCATTCAATGATTGTATATACTATAAAATGTGTGGATGATACGAAATAACATAAACTATGGATAATACTGGATGTTGTAAAACCTAGGTTATTAGATGGCATAAACATGGATAATGCTTAACACATCAATAATATCACATGCTAGGACATATATGGTAGTAAATTACTATGAAAAGTGTACGAGATAAGATAATATGAAACATCAGTGACATAAGATATAAAATATAGGCAATTTTAGATTTTGGGAAACACAGATAACATTGAAATTTTATTTGCACTGAGATACTATAAAACATTGGATCATATTAGATGCTTTAAAATATAAATTATGTTAGATACTTTGAACATGCATGTTTTAAGATACTGTGAAATAAAGATGCTAATAGATTGTGTGGATACAATGAAACATGGATGCTATTAGATAGTAAAAGATATGGGTGATATAGATACTATGTGATATAGATAATAGTGGATGTGATGACACATTGATGATATCAGATACTATGAAGCATGGATGGTGTTAGATACTATGAAACATGGATGAAATTAGATACTATGAAACATGGATGCTATTAGATGCCATGAAACATGGATGATATTAGAATATGTGAAACATGAATGATACTGGATACTATGAAACATGGGTGATGCAGATACTATGAGACATAGATGATATTCACCATGATGATATAAGATACTAAGAAGCACAGTGATATAAGATGCAGCGAGACATGTATGATATAAGATACTAGGAAACATATCATATTACATTTTATGATGCCTGGATTATATTAAATACTTACATAGGTCATTTGAAAAAAAAAAAAAAAACTTTGAAGCATGTATGGTATTAATTATTATTAAACATTTATCGTATTAGATACTATGAAGCATGGATTAAATTAACAAATATGAAATATTGGTGAAATTAAATACTATGGTACGTGGATCAGATTAGATACTATCACATATGGATCATATTAGATTCTGTAACATATGGATCAGATTAGATACTATACCATATGGGTCAGATAAGATACTAGGATACATGTATCATGTTAGATAGTATAACACATGGATCAGATTAGATACTAGGATACATACATAATTTTAGATCCTATGGCACATGAATCTTGTTAGATACTATGAAACATGAATCATTTTAAATACTATGGTATGTGATTCCAAATAGATACTATGAGAAATGGTTCATATTAGATAGTATGACACATGGATCATATTAGATACTATGAAACATAAATCAGATACTATGACACATGGATCATATGAGATACTATGAAACATAAATCAGATACTATGAGACATGGATCATATTAGATACTATGAGACATGGATCATATTAGATACCATGGCACATGATGAAATATACTATTTCTTTTTTCTAATGTGTGGTAGGTATTAGGTACTGAAACTGATAGTTACTTCAAGCAATTAAAAACAGATAAACATTCTATGAAACATTTATATTATTCAAGTACTTTTATAATGTTTCAGAAATAAATGTTCACATTCACGCCGAAACAATGTGCTTAGTTTCTTAATAATTAAAAGCACATACTCACATTCCACTCTTTTAAGTACAACCTTTTATTCAGTTAAATGTTCAACAGTTTTAGTACAATATTACACTCTTTCAGTCCAACATTTAGCTCTTTCAATCCAACATTATTAAGCATTTTCAGTCAAACATTTAACTCTCTCACTTCATTAGCTGTCTCTTTAAATTCAACATTTCACTGTTTCAGTTTAATATTTAACAGCTTTCAGTCCAAAATATAACTCTGTCAGACTAACATTTAACTTTTTTTAAAGCAAGAAACTTCACATTTTCAATTTCTCTTCCCTATAATTTCCTAACCCTTCAAAAACATTCTCAAAAAGCAGTTTTCAAAGAGGATGCACAGGAAAGTATTAACTACAGTGTAAAATCATGATGTTGTCACATGATGGATTAGAATCTGAGGGAAGGAGACATTACCAATCATTGATTTCATGAGATGACAGATTGAAGAAGACAATTACCAATCATGGATTCCATGAGATGACAGATTGAAGAAGACAATTACTAATCATGGATTCCATGAGATGACAGATTGAAGTAGACAATTACCAATCATAGATTCCAGGATACGACAGAGAGAATGTTAATAGTCTAAGCTCATGAGGAGAGCTGTTCCTCGTTTCACCCAGTGATCTGCTGGCTTGTCTCCGGCCCGAAGATCCACGGCCACAACAAAACTGGGTCGTCCCATGGCACCTGAGCGGTTGGGGTAGTAGTAGCAGGGAGTTGTGTATATACCTGGCAGAGAGTAGACAACAGTTGCAAGAGGTTAAAGTGGCATGTTATTGTTTATTTCAATATTATGAGTTGAATCTTCTGACTCCTATTGTTCAGTCACATGCCTGTATTACACTTATAATACACTTCCTCAATAGGTCATCACCATGGTGAGAAACTCAACGCTGAATCTATTGTGTGGCAATGGCTATTGTTATTTTGTTTCAATGTAAAACATCTTTAATGTTGTTAATCCATTTTCTCCTAGGGTGACTTCTTGCTTTCGCATCAAATCTTTTTATGTTAAGCATCTGTGTTCGTAGTTGTTGAAGATGCATGCTAATTAGATGACCAAACCATATGATCATTTCCTCTCCCCCCCCCCCCCCCCCCCCCCCCCCCCAGTGAATTTGGTAGAAGATGTTGTCCCCACAGTCTGTATGATAGTATCCTTTTTTTTTTCTCTGGTGTTGTTGTATTGTAATGAGAAATGTGAATGGTGGAGATATTCATTATTTAATGTAAGAAATGTTTCTAGTATTAACTTGCATAGATAAAATATTAGGACTCCTGGTGTTACTGTAAAAAAATATGAAGCTTGTTCTCTAATGTGGTTGTGCTATAAAAATGAATGATGTAGTTCTCATCTGCTTTTACGTTTAAGGAATATTTCAAGTAATAAGCTGTATAGATGAAATATTGTAGCTCTTATTGTAAAATTGTAAAATCAATACACAATGTATTGTCCAGTATTATAGTATGAGAAATAGGAACGTTGAAGTTCCTATTTTGCTATTTTATGTAAGAAATAACTCTTGCATTAGATAGTATACAAAATGTGATAGTTGGAGGCCTATCCTATTTTATGTATGAAATATTCATAATTTCAAGTTGTATAGGAAACATAACATTTTGAAGATCTTAGTATTAAGCTGGTTAGAGATATGAATGTTGAAGTTCTGTGGTCTAGTTGTGTAATAATCATTATCTTACTATAGGAGTTCCTTACTGTAAAGTTATATAAGAGATATGTATTACATAAATGATACAATCCTGCAAGCTTAAACTGTATAAGAAGTATAAATGTCAAAATTCTTTACTGTTAAGCTGCCTAATACAGTGATTCCCAAACTGTGTGCCACAGCGCCCCGGGAAGCCATGACCTCTTCACAGGGGCACCTCAAAATATTCAAATATACACATTTTTGAACTCTTTGAGTCCCAGGGGGGTTTAGCATCACAGGCCCAAGGGGTAGTCACGAGAGACGTAAAATCGGCGCATCATGCGTTCATTGGGCCTCTAGGTAGGAATCTATGAACGTATGATGCGTTCCTTGGGACTCAAAGAGTTAAAAAAAAATATCTTTTACATACTTTAAGTCATACTTTTACTTAGATTAGGGCGCCGTGGAAACAATTTAATTGAAAAAAGGTGTTGCAACCAAAAAATGTTTGGGAAACGCTGGCTTAATAAAATATCAATACCTAAGTTCTATTGTAGAAGACAAATACATTTATGAGCTGTTTGGTTAAGCTGTTTTATAAACTTTTCTTCTGTCCCATCCAGATTTTGACAAATTTATTTTAATAATTTTGTGAAATCTATGAACAGTAAAATAAATGCGCAATAAAACAATCAAAGATTGATACTTGTAGTGACTGAAGCAATAATGTGAATGGACAATATTTAGAACAGCTTTATTATAAAACTTTGGCAACACAATTTTTAAAAAAAAGGAAAGTGAAAACTACTAAAAGTGTTATTTAAATGTGAACCACTGATGTGTTGATACAACACAAAAGTAGTTAAAAGCCAAATGTAAAAGCTTTAACGATACAGTTGAAGAGAAGTTAACCTAAAGATGTGATTGTGAAATGCTGCTTTGAAGTATCAACATTTAAACAATTATTTTACTTGTAGAGATGCAATGAAGTCTGTATTAACAACAATGAACTGCAAACATTCATTAACTTGTGCCTGTGCAGAATAGAAGGAATTAAATGATATGATAGAACCACTGATGTGTGGATACCAGGGGATCTGGCCGACACTCAACACTCAAGGGAAGGGAGAGATGGATATACAAGATCCGGCAATTAAGTAACGAGACTCATTCCATACAAATTTAAAGAATAAACAGTTGAAGATATAACCTGTATTTTCATTAAAAGTAAGCCCCTTGTGCATTGATACAGTGAGTAGTGCGATCTAACAAACACTGGAACGACCTCTGCAGTTTTTTTGTTGTTATGGCCCTTTAAGTCGATGTTACGGCCCTTTGGATGCCATCAATTTCGTCAAAGAAGTGTCCTTTCAATGGTAACTTTCATTTTGGGAATAGAAAATAATCACATGGAGACAAATCTCGGCAGTAGGGTGGTTGGTTGAGAACAAACACTTGTTTTGGGGCCAAAAATTCCTGTTTTGACAATGTCTCTTGGGTACTCAACCAGCTGATGTTTTTGTTCATCAGACAACGAAAGTGGTACAAACCTGCAAGCATTTTTTTCTGGCCAAAATCTTGCACTAAAACTTTATGTAGGGTCTCTCCATTAACACAAGATTCATCTGCCATCATCCTGACAGTAAAACAACGATCTTCTTTTATCCGTTCTGTGATGTTTGCAATGAGTTCATCATTACAAACAGAAATTGGGCGTCCAGGTCTAGTTGCATTAGTAATAATTTCTACACCACTTTTGAAGTGTGATTACCATCTGAACATCTGTGCAGTAGATAAACAAGTATCCACATAAACTTGTGGCATCAATTGAACTGTTGCAATGGCGCTTTTTCTGAGTTTTAAACAGAATTTAATGTTAGCTTTTTGCTCCATGCTGATTTCCTAATGATGCACATCTAACTAGGTCAATAAAATGGCGGCTTGTTTGTCGTCTGCTTATCAGGCGGCGATGCAAAGTTGCCAGATCAAAGATGAAGGTTGCCTCTTTGGATTCAATGCTTTACTTCATAGATGGCACATTGTCTTGGCCGTAATAAAATCAGTCTCTTAATTGACGGACCTTTTACAATCAGACAATTACTGGTGCCATCGGAATTAAGAATGAGCAGATGGATAGACTGGCCGGTTCTGCACAACTTGGTGGTGAATTGATGTATGACAAGCTAGAAGTTGTGAGGGCCCTCTGGGAGCGAGTGAAGAGTGCGGAAGCGCAAACAGATCATTACATTCAGAGGAGAATGGCGCTGTGAGGAGTTACAAGGGGATCTGGCCGATGCTCAACACTCAAGGGAACGGTGAGACGGTGGATATACAATTAGACAGTTACTGGTGCCAGCGGAATTGGAACTCTTTGTTTGCTTCTGAAGATGGGGACATAGCGCTTATGAGGGGTGTTTCGAGTGCTATGATGTCGATTCTTAATTCAACATTCAGCTGACATGTGGAGTTTTAGGACAAAACTAGGCAAACTGCTGTGAATCATGAGGTGAGGAATATATGCTAGCATTGGATAGGAGACATTGAGCAAATCTGAAAACATAAATACATAAATAAAGGCAAACCAAAACTCATATAAAGAAGGAAACTATAGAGTAAAGTCAAACAGATAGGCAGGATATGGAGAGAGCTGCATGCGATAACAAGGGGTAGGATGACTTGGAATAAGTCACTGGGGCAATCAAAGGCCAGAAGAAGTAGAAGAAGAATGACAATGTTTAAGAACAGAAGCATGAATAGGTATTGTAGTTGTGAATCTTAACTTTGTAAAGTGACAACATATAAACAGTTGCTTGAATTGTAAAGTAACAATGTTGAAAACAAAAATTCACAGATATGTTAACTATGAGACAACTGTAAAGTTACAACACTGGTATAGTTCTTTTACTGTAAAATGTGTAAAGGAAACGTAATAAGATATAAGTGAACAACAATTTTAACCGCAAAACAAACATAAAATATTTGGTCATCATTACTCTCTTTTTTCTTCTTTGCCCCTGGAATAAAGAATGGATAATAGATGCACATGACAATCACACATCATCATCATCATGACATCAGTGGTTTTCAACAGGGCTGCTACTGCCCTGCTGGAAGTGTGGTTAGTTCGTGTTAGTTCATGAGGTGCTTTATTAATATCCTACCCCAAAAGGGAAATCCACGGGGACAGTCTAATATTTCAGGGGGTGGTAGATGGGCTGCATGCAGTCATGGGACCTAGGCTGCACGCATTCGTTGGACCTAGGCTGCACTCTCTCGTGGGACATAGGTGGGATGGGGTTAGAACCAGTTCTAGATGTGTTGGGGTCGTTAAAAGCATCAGAAAGCCGGGAAACCAAGTCTTACCACCCTCTAAAATGTTGGACTGTCCTGTGACATCATCTGGGGTAGGATATTAATTAAGCTCCTAACATGATTATCAAATTATGTTAATTGTCTTTTAATAAAACCTACATTAAAAGCAAAGTGCAGTAAAACAGTTTCTAAGTAAAGAAATGCAGATCTTTAGATCTGCTGAGGAGCTGAATAATCATTTCTCTCTAACGTGATTGCGAGGTCTAGCTGTTCCAACTGGAGCAGCGCTACATGAAAACCATGCAAAACCTTTCCTTCGCTAGATCAACCAACACAGAACAGGAGTTGTCAGCATAAACATACAAAGAAACCTAGGAACACTCATGGGTATGCCCAGCATGCAATGAGGATGATCTTGAACAACAAAGAGCTGAAATGAAGCAACTAAAAATACTGTGTTTACAAAACAAATTGTCTTCTACTTTTTCAGAATTCCAAGGATTTGAGGTTAATTGCTGCAGATATCACCCGCATCTATTCATCGTTGTGATCTACCTTCTCTTTCCATTGTTGTAGGTCTGCCTGTATATTACCTCTCCACTTTCATCTTGATCTGCCTCATGGTCTATTCCCAAGATAATTCAAGATAATGCTAGCTCAGAGGATTTGATCATTTACACAGACGGTTCAGTGTCAAGAGGCAAAAGAATTGTTTAGGGTTTCTTAGCAAAAGTTAATGGTCGACATTTGGTGCAGGAGAGCCTAGCATATGATACCACAACATCCAGCTTAAGAATGGAGGTGGAGGCGGTCATTGCAGCTTTCTGCTGGCTAGAGAACATGACTCACACACATTGTGATTGTAACTGATTCAGAAAGCATGCTGAGGAAGATCAGAACAGATATGCTTCGTGCAAAGTGGCATGCTTCGCTGCGGAGGACACGGGTGGGGAGTATTGTCTGGATTTTTTCACTGAAATACGCCGGTATGTTGGGAAATGTACAGTCGGACAGACTGGCTTGCTCTGCACATCTTAGTGGAATACTGATACATGATAAGGCAGACGTGGTTAGTGCCTTGGGGGAGGTTCTGACAGATGCTCGAGGCTCAGAGGAAAGGCAAGACGGATGTTTAATCAGAATGCTACTGGCACCATTAGTATGGGAACTCTTCGCTGGCTACTAAAGATGGGGACCGAGCGCTTATGGAAATGCCCCAAGAGCTGTGATGTCAAATCAAATCCTATTCAATTTATTTGTGTACACAATCGTAGTCTCGGGGGCCCTATTGTGAGGAAAACAAGAATAGACCTCTCAAACAAGCATATTGTAAGAGTCGGCTAACTGGTGTCTTCCTTCAAAATCAGAGTGCATCTGCCTGAGAGGCAAGAAACCAACAGTCTGCATACAAATAAGTCATATCTGTAAAATGGATATGCATGCAACACTCAGGTTCTGGAATAAGACTGAAGTGGAAAGATGGATGAACAACCAAAACTTGCCACTGGAGTAACAGTGGTGAATGCAAAGAAGAAGAAGAAGATTCTATTTAATCACTCATTCAATTAATTTTGATTTTTTTAAGGACAACAACAAAATACTTCTAGATAATATATCTATTTAAAAAATCTATATAATAAATGTATTTTGTTATTTCTAAAAAAAGAAATGTAATCATAAAAGATGAAACAACATTGCTTACCCTTGCCGCCTTTCTTTTTGGTGTCTACTGGTTTGAAATGAATTGTGGGCATTGGGCAGACGAGCTGCATTGGGTTGGCCTCAACAAGGACAGAATTCTTTTTGTCCCAACCAGCTCCTTGAAGATAGAGACCCTTGACATACACACCATCCTGGAAGTGACAATATAGAGAAGAATGTTTACGGAAGTACTATATGCATTTTTTTGAAGAAAAAATATTATGTGGCAGTTTTTCTCAACCTTTCTAAACCCATGGCCCACCAATAGAAGGGAACTTGTTTTAGGCCAACCGGAAGAAGGGAAATTGTTTCAGGCCCACCAAAAGAACAGAAATTGTTTCAGGCCCACCAAAAGAAGGGAAATTGTTTCAGGCCCACCAAAATAAGAGAAATTGTTTCAGGCCCACCTGACAGCAAATAAAATACAACAAAATTGACGCATGGGACGTGATACTTTTTATGCAAGAATCATATAGCCCCTACATGAGTTATTGCCCTTATTCCCAGCCCAGACTGGATTACAGCTTACGTAACTGTCAGGTGCCATAATATTACTGTTTTATTTGGATGAACTTGGTTTCTGGGTTTTGTACCTGTTTTTGTACCTTGAGGTGTTAAATCCTACAGACAGCATTCATAGAAGAGACAAACAACTTACCCTATCCTGTTACTTGATGGACTTCCGGTCCAAAATGGAGGATTAGGCATCGCAGAATGTTTGGCTTCAAGGTAATTTTGCTTTTGACAGTGGTTTGCTATTGCAGTTTCCACATTTGTATGGAAGTGTACAGTTTCCCTGCCAGAGCAACTGATTTTAGTGCATGGTGCAGCCCTGTGAGCTACGTTTTTCACGTGGAATGCCTTTCATTTGTGCAGTGGTTGCTTTATGTATTGAAAATGGCGAGTATTTGGTTTATGTGTGGGCTGTGAAATACCTTTTGGAATAATTTTATGTTTGTCAGCCATCTTTTTGGGACCGAGTATTTCCATCAATGACAAACTGCATTTCTTGTGTCAATGGTTGGCTTTGGCACCTCTAGCAACTGCCATATGCATTTACTGCATGCTCATATTTCTGGATTGTGGGATTGTGCCTGACTAAATGCCTGAGAGGCAAGGAACCAGCAGTCTGCATACAAATAAGTTAGATCTGTAAAACGAAAGCACAAAACAAATGTTTGTTTACCAGTTTTCCAAATGTGACAGTGAGGGGAGTTTCATGTGATTTTCACTGCCCAGGAACAGAGCAAGTATGTGGTGACCTGTTTGCAGTGAAGTTTATTCCCCCATACTTGCTCTGTTCCTGTGCCAGTGAAATTAAAATGAAATTTTCTCCACTGTCTCATTTGTCAACTGGTCATTTAGCCAACTAACCAAGCAGGAAGGAAACAGCTAGTCAACTATCCAACAAAGTAACTAACCAAACAACAATGCACTGCACATGTGCCAAAACATGATCTACGAGTAGATGATTTAGGAGACAACAGTAATTGGCAACCTTGACAGGACTACAAGAACTTCATGTAAAATATGTGTTGCCAGACATGAAAACTATGCAGGTAGCCAAAGAAGAATAGCTAACCAATAGAGAACTGGTGTTATCAGTCGATACATGCAGAGGGAGATACTGAAGATGTGATCTGGGTTCTTACAGACTTGTATGACGTGCAAAGAGGATGATTAGCCAATGAAATAACTATTTAAAAAATGAAGCAGAGGCTTCAAAAATCAGCTAGCCAGCTCACCAACAGCAAGCCAAACAATGAAGAACCAGCTAAACAACTACCTAAACAACCAATCAAACAATCAAGTAATTACCAACAATGTACTGTACTTGTATTTAAATGCACTTTGCAAGAGGATAAATGAACAAGCTATCCAGACAGCTAGTCAAACAATCAATCAAGCACTCAACCAAGCAAACTATTCAACCAAATAAACAAACCATTTACCTAAACAAACAACAAACAAACTAAGCAATCAATACAACAAACCAAGTACCATCCAACCAAGCAAATACCAGGCAAACCAAGCAAACCATTAAAACAAACCAAGTACCGTCTAACTAAGCAAATACCTGACAAACCAAGCAAACTATCCAACCAACCATGCAAACCATCCAAGCAAACCATCCAGGCCAACATCAAATAAATCAAGAACCATCCAACCAAACCAACCAATAAAACCATCCATCCAGCCAAGAAAACCATGTTGCTAACTGAGCCAGCCATCAAACTAAGCAACAATCTAAGCTAAAAATCCAACTAACCAAGCAAACCATTCAATGAACCAAGCAAACCATCCAAATAAACACCAAAAAAACATCCAACTAACATATCTAACACCAGCTAAGATAACCATCCAAACAGCCACACACAAAAAGCCACCTAATGAACCAAGCAAAGCTTGGGTACCCAATCAACCAAGGAAACCAACCAATGAGCCAAGCTACCATCCAGCAAAACCATTCAACCAACCAAGGAATCCAACAAACCAAGGAAACCAACCAATGAGCCAAGCAACCATACAGTGAAACCATCCAACCAACCAAGGAAACCAACCAATGAGCAAAGCTACCATCCAGCAAAACCGTCCAACCAACCAAGGAAACCAACCAATGAGCCAAGCAACCATCCAGTGAAACCATCCAACCAACCAAGGAATCCAACAAACCAAGGAAACCAACCAATGAGCCAAGCAACCATACAGTGAAACCATCCAACCAACCAAGGAAACCAACCAATGAGCAAAGCTACCATCCAGCAAAACCGTCCAACCAACCAAGGAAACCAACCAATGAGCCAAGCAACCATCCAGTGAAACCATCCAACCAACCAAGGAATCCAACAAACCAAGGAAACCAACCAATGAGCCAAGCAACCATACAGTGAAACCATCCAACCAACCAAGGAAACCAACCAATGAGCAAAGCTACCATCCAGCAAAACCGTCCAACCAACCAAGGAAACCCACCAATGAGCCAAGCAACCATCCAGTGAAACCATCCAACCAACCAAGAAAACCAACCAATGAGCCAAGCTACCATCCAGTGAAACAATCCAACACACCAAGGAAACCAACCAATGAGCCAAGCAACCATCCAACCAACCATGGAAACCATCCAGTAATGAACACATTCACAGTAATAGTTAACAACATGTACCTTTGCAGCTCCTGTCAGGTTACTGTCATCCACGGTCTGTACAATAAACTCCCAAGAAAGAGCATCCACTGACACCTGGAGACAACAAGATGATGACATAAATTGTTGGCATACTCTGATAAAATAAAATTTTTATGTTTTCTCTTTCTTCTTCTTCTCCTTCTTCTTTTTTTTTTTTTCTTCTTTATCTTCTTTTCTTGTCCATTCACCCTTATATTCACATTATTTTTTTCTTCTTCTGAAAGCTGTGTAGTTTACAGCTCAGCTGTGACATATGTGATTTTTTGTCCAACATCTCTAATTTTAGCAAACCTCAAATTAGTTGCTTTTACCGCATATAGTTAATTTATCATCACCCCCCCCCCCCCCTCTCCCCTTACTTGTTATCTCTATTCTTCTCCAAGCCTGGGCGATTTTTCACATTCCTTACACAAATCCACCTGGTTATCCTCATCGTCCTAGATTCCGGGTCAGTTGTACCATTTCATTTGCTCTAAAGATAAATATGTCCCTCTCGTCTGTGTCTCATAGGGTGTTGTCCGAGCAGCGTTCTTTGTTACCTCATTTCCACTGGAAGTGTTGGTGATCTGTCCTCGCTGCCATTCGTCACCTGTTCATTTTTATCTTCCTAGATTCTCTGGCATGTTTCTAGTGCTTTGGCTGACTGGACTTGACTACATCAGAGGAAGGTGTATTACCATAATTAATCTCTCAGGGAATCCTGGCATATCTTAGTGCTACTCCATATCTCCTGCTCTCACTGTATACATCCATCAGTGACAGCTGTCATGTTTGGTTGTTGCCTTCAGTGTTTCCCGGTGTTAATTTATCAGGAATAAATGTACTTGTTCACCCCTCCTGTTCACTCCTATAATACACAGTTGGCTTGACACAAACAGTAAACTATTTGAATGGGTCACTTGATTCTTTGTCAACTTCTAAGCAATACTGAGCACATACAGGTGTTTCTAATGTTCAGCAAATCAAATTGTTAATTTTTAAAATAAAATAAACAAACTTGGGACTTCATATCTTGAGACATACTGCATAGATATTGCTTGCTCAAATTCTTTTACAGAACAACCATATAATTCCTGCACTTTTAAATCCCAGACTGTTACTTGGCAGTTCAAACGAGAAGTCTGCTAAATAGGAACAACAACAAAATTATCTGATGAGAAATTCTTCTTTTTCTGTGTTTCCTGGCTGTAAACTCTGGTGGATAGTTCTGAATGTTAGTTTACTTTGGGATTTTGATCCTGTTCCAAAACTTGAGTTTTACATGCACATCCATGTTAGATGTCTGGCCTATCTGTATACAGACTGATGGTTTTTTACTTTTCAGGCACTTGTACTCTGACTTTAAAGGAAACATCCTCTTGTTAGTCAACTCTCATGACATGCTTGTTCTGAGGTCATTGGGTCTATCTACCTCTCCACCCCCCCCCTTCCCCCCCCTCCCCCACCCCGCACACAGACAGGACCATCACAGGGATGAAAAATCCTGAACACATGATCACAGACCAGCAGCTAAAAATGCTAGCGACAAAACTACTGCATTCCAGTATTATCTGTAATACTAGTCTAAATGTAGTGAACAACTCACCTGGTGCTGTCGGGCAGCTGTTTGCAGAACTGCAGTGAGGAATCCAGTTGGAAATGTGAAAGCAGACATCCAGAAGACCCAAGGGGGGCGTGCTGTTCCTGCCCATTTGGCAAAAACATCAACTCTCTGAACTAGATCCCTTGTCCACGCAGACAGTGGTTTCATTGAAGGGTAGGCCTTACAGAAAAATGCAGAAGTGAGCAACATAAAAAATAACATACATTATAGATCAGACAAGCACTGATTATTTGAATATGCTCACGTTCCTTTCTGTTGTTGCCATTTGGCCCAATGCCATGTAGTGGAATTTGCATGTTTTTTATTGCTGTTTTTTTTTTCTTTTTCCGTACAAGGTGTTCTACCTGTCTGGTCTCAAAGGGAATATCATTCTTTTTGTCTCACTGAGATTTGGGTACTCCAGGACATGATGGTCAACAGTTTTGTAGGGGTAGTTACATAGCTGGCACTCTGGGGAGTGTTGTGGCTGTATTCTGTTTAGATACCCATTGAGTTCCTTTCTATAAGTTGTGATTGTGGTAATGCATCTCTTCTAGGATTGCCATTCATAGAATTAACAACTCAAGAAGAGAACAAACAGAAGGAAATCCCAGAAACCCAGGTCAACCATATATCAATTATATTAAGGCACCCCCATAGTTGTGAGGCTCCATGGCTTATCTTATATAGTGAACAGTTTCATGATCCTCAAATATTCAGACATTTCTCTGATCTCCTCACTCTTTTTTAAATTCATAAATTTTATGTTTATGATTTTATTTGTTTACATTCAAAGGGAATAACTTTCACTCCATATTTTTGGTGGTTCTCCAACGTTCGCTTGCAAATAACATTAGAATTGAAGATTCCTAGTCTGGTCCTAAAGCTGTACAACTTGGAGCTCAATATTTTGTTAAAGCTTTTTAAGACTGCTGTTGCTTTGCCAGTGTGTATCATGATTTCCTTAATTTTTATCTCATTGAGAGTCCAAACTGCTACCTAGATAAGTGAAATGGTTCATTACTTTTATTGGTTTCTTCTTTAGCATGAGTTGAGGAGTTGAGTCAAGAATTGACATCACAGCACCTGGGGCATTCCCATGCATGCTCCATCCTCATCTTCAGCAGCCAGCGCTGGGTTCCAAAACTGATGGTACCGGTCACTATCTGATTAAATGTCCGTCTTGCCTTTCCTCTGAGTGTAGTGAGCTGGCCAGTCCCTTTGGTTAAAGCCAGGTGCCTCACTCTCTCCAGGCCATAATAATCTTCTTTCTCTACTGATTCCGTTGCTCGTTCCCAAAGGGCCTTGACGACATCTGCCTTGTCATGTACCAATTCGCCACCTAGTGGTGTGGATCCAGCCAGTCTGTCTGCCTCTAACATGATATCTACATGATCTGCTGTTGGTATCTTTAATATATTTTTCTCAGAACTTATTTGAAGTTCTATTTCTGATGCAGTAGATGACAAATCGTCTGTTTTTCTTTGCATGACTTTGTTTACTTTCACTTAGAACAATATCATCTGCAAAATCCAGATCTTCCAGTTGTCTATTCTCTACCCAATCAATGCCAGTATTGCCTTTGCAACATTTTTTTTTCACTACACTATCAATGGCTACTACAAACAACAAGAGAATGCAGCCTTGTTTCACTCCACTTTCCACCAAAAATCAGTCAGACCATTTTCTGTTCTTTTTCTCGTCCCTCAGCTTTCAACATTTCTATGATCAATTTTTTCCATTATTCCTATTCCCTTTTAAATTCTTGCCTTTTACTCAACACGGTACTGCAGACCATCATTAAAACAAACCTGGACAGTAGTATTATGCCAGCAATCTGCTATATTGGACTGGAGGTCAATAAATACATCAATAATGATATTTGATTTGATTTAATTTGATTCAAGAACCGACATCACAGCACTCATGGCATTCCCATGAGAGCCCTGTCCCCATCTTCAGCAGCCAGCAAAGAGTTCCGATACTAATGTTGCCAGTAGCATTCTGGTTAAACGTCCGTCTTGCCTTTCCTCTGAGCCTTGAGCATCTACCATAACCTCTCGTCACTCCCTCTTTGCATCAATCTCACCAGACTGTGATGATCCATCTGCTCCACCAAACTTTACACGCTCTCCCACAAGGCACTAACCACGTCTGCATCAATCTCACCAGACTGTGATGATCCATCTGCTCCACCAAACTTTACACGCTCTCCCACAAGGCACTAACCACGTCTGCATCAATCTCACCAGACTGTGATGATCCATCTGCTCCACCAAACTTTACACGCTCTCCCACAAGGCACTAACCACGTCTGCATCAATCTCACCAGACTGTGATGATCCATCTGCTCCACCAAACTTTACACGCTCTCCCACAAGGCACTAACCACGTCTGCATCAATCTCACCAGACTGTGATGATCCATCTGCTCCACCAAACTGTACACGCTCTCCCACAAGGCACTAACCACGTCTGCATCAATCTCACCAGACTGTGATGATCCATCTGCTCCACCAAACTGTACACGCTCTCCCACAAGGCACTAACCACGTCTGCATCAATCTCACCAGACTGTGATGATCCATCTGCTCCACCAAACTGTACACGCTCTCCCACAAGGCACTAACCACGTCTGCATTAATGATGCTAAATAGCTAAATATTAACACACTGACCTTTTCCCATATAGGAGGTACACGGCCATCAAAAATACAATGAAAAATAACTTCCAGGTCTGCGGTCATCACGACAAGGCCTTGAATACCTCTCTCTAGGGCAGTCAGTGAGGCTCGTATTTGTTGCAGGAGAGAATTGTAGCGTTGTATCTAAAGCAGAGCACAAGACAGAAAACAGATATGATATGTGCCGAGAGTAACCAATCAATCTCATATATATGTGTCAAGATTAACCAATCAATGAATCTCAGATATGACATGTGTCCAGATTAATTAACCAATGAATCTCAGATGTGATATGGATCCATATTAACCAGTCAATGAATCTCAGATATGCCATGTGTCCAGGTTAGCCAATCAAATGAATCATAAATAAGACATGTGACCAGATGTTGGCACCTTTCCAAATTTTTTATATTTTGGATTTATTGCCTAAAATTATAATGGTCTGAATTCTTCTTCTTCTCCTTCTTCTTCTTCTTCTTCTTTTTCTTTTTCTTTTTCTTTTTCTTTTTCTTTTTCTTTTTCTTTTTCTTTTTCTTTTTCTTTTTCTTTTTCTTTTTCTTCTTCTTCTTCTTCTTCTTCTTCTTCTTCTTCTTCTTCTTCTTCTTCTTCTTCTTTTTCTTCTTCATTTTCTTCTTCTTCTTCTTCTTCTTATTCTTCTTCTTTTTCTTCTTCTTCTTCTATCCTTATAAAGATGGTTGTGTTGTTGTTTACAGCTAGGTTGCAATATCTGCACCTCTGAAACCCCACGCATCCTGTTTCAGCAAATCCCTAACTGGACATATTTTACAGCATTCGTGTTAAGGAGACAGTGGGTCTATTCTTTGCCCTGAACATAGGGCCCAAGAATCCTCACAGGGAGTGTTGAAATGAACTGTACCTCTTGCAGCAGTACAACATTGAGTGGTGAGGGATCCACAGACAGAATCTTGGCAGTTCCATCATAGTCCATGTCTTCAGGCACTTGCTTGAATATGTTTGCTGCCAGCTCCAAGACCTGGCAAACATTGCACAATTATTACATTTTGATTATTTGACCAGTCAACATCATGGCACTTTGGGCATACACATAGATGTTCAGTCTTACACAGTAAATGTTGCTAGTTGAAGATTCTAAAAATTTCAGTAGCATACTGACACACAGACACATCTTATCTTCTCTACTCTGTCCATTTATTAAACTTTTACCACAAAAGACATACCTTATCCTGTCTACTCTCTCCCTTCATTAAACTTTTACAGAAACAAACATACCCTGTACCTTCTACTCTTTCTATGTTGTTTTTTTAAACTAATACTTCTTCATCTGCATTCATCCTTAAAAGGGTAAGTGGCACTGAAACTGACATACCTGACCCTCTTTACCTTTCTTAAATTGACACAGAAACTGACAGACCTTACCCTCTATTCCCTTTTTTAAATTGATACAGAATCTGACATACCTTACCCATAATTCCCTTTTTTAAATTGATTCAGAAACTGACATACCTTACCCTCTATACCTTTCTTAAAGTGATACAGAAACTGACAGACCTTACCCTCTATCCCATTCCTAAACTGATATAGAAACTGACATAAATTACCCTCTATCCCCTTTCTTACATTGTTACAGAAACAGGCATACCTTATGCTCTATCTCTTTAGCAAACTGATACAGAAACAGACACACCTTATCCTCTATCCTTTCCTAAATTGGTACAGGAACTGATATACCTTACCCTATCACAATCAACATTGCTGCATATTGGCAGTTTCCTCTCAGTCCTCTTATGCCCCAGCCACTTTAAGATGCCTCAACCGATTGTTCCCATGACATACTGATTAGAATATTTCTGCCTCAAAGGCGGCATAGACATGCTTCACCATGCTTTACTTCCATGTTACCTGTTAGTGTCAGAGATTCATCACTATCCCGTAGCCCAGTTCATGTAGTGATGATAATATCTGCTCTGTCCATGCTTCCCGTATGCGTTGTTGTATTGTCTGTCAGCTGGTCTACTGGCTTATGACCCTTTATGCCGGCAGGACCAGGTGTATAGATCCAGGTGAGCAGGTTAAGTGTGACTTTAGAATGCTTTCTAACCATTCAAAGAATATACTATCTTTATGCTCTTGCTTTATTAAACTTAGATACTTAAACAGACATACCTTAATTTATCTACTCCACCCTCACCTGATCAAACTTAAACAGACATATCTTAATCTATCTACTCCAGCCTCACCTGATCAAACTTAAACAGACATACCTTAATCTATCTACTCCAGCCTCACCTGATCAAACTTAAAAAGACATACCTTATCCTCTCTACTCTCTCCCCCAGATGTGGATACCTGTGGCTGCAGTGACAGAAGTGTGTCAAACAACAACCGCGTCTCCTGGATCTGGGATGAGATATCAGCATTTGGATGCTGCCCAAATGTCTCTGTTGGCAACAAGACAGAAGAATACATATACACATACACATATAAAACAGCAATAATTTACACCATACAACTGCCTTTATTTCCTGTATTCACTGGTTTTAAAGACAGCACAGAATATTGGGGGGAGGGGGGCAGTGCGGTTAGAGTGGTTGAGGGTGGTGTGGGGGTCATAAACCTTATGATTTAGAGCTGCAAAGTTCTTGCTGTTACCACAGTATGTGCAGGGTAGGTTATTATTTTTGTCCAAGGATCCAAACCAGAATCTCTTAAATGAGAGCCCAGTATTCTTAACAGCTTGACCAGCTGCTCCTCTTATATTACAGTTATTTACATTAAACTTCACAGAATACCACTGACATACAGAGAAAACAAATACTGACATCCTAAAAGATCTGAACATCAAGGAAGATTGGCTAGTAAACATGTATGTTTAATTGTTTGCACTCCTAGCACCATTGACATACAGAGAAAACAAATACTGACATCCTAAAAGATCTGAACATTAAGGAAGATTGGCTAGTAAACATGTATGTTTAATTGTTTGCACTCCGAGCACCATTGACATACACAGCAAACAAATACTGACATCCTAAAAGATCTGAACATTAAGGAAGATTGGCTAGTAAACATGTATGTTTAATTGTTTGCACTCCGAGCACCATTGACATACACAGCAAACAAATACTGACATCCTAAAAGATCTGAACATTAAGGAAGATTGGCTAGTAAACATGTATGTTTAATTGTTTGCACTCCGAGCACCATTGACATACACAGCAAACAAATACTGACATCCTAGAAGATCTGAACATTAAGGAAGATTGGCTAGTAAACATGTATGTTTAATTGTTTGCACTCCGAGCACCATTGACATACAGAGAAAACAAATACTGACATCCTAAAAGATCTGAACATCAAGGAAGATTGGCTAGTAAACATGTATGTTTAATTGTTTGCACTCCGAGCACCATTGACATACAGAGAAAACAAATACTGACATCCTAAAATATCTGAACATTAAGGAAGATTGGCTAGTAAACATGTATGTTTAATTGTTTGCACTCCGAGCACCATTGACATACAGAGCAAACAAATACTGACATCCTAGAAGATCTGAACATTAAGGAAATACAAAGACAGTCTAACTCTATTTCTTTCATCTATTTCAAAATGTTGTAGTAAATACATACAAATTTACTTATCATGCTATTTTGAAATAATTACATGCAGCAATATTATTTTTAACTAAGAAAAGAATGTTCAATTTCAATGTAATTAATGTATGATGAAATACAGTCATCCCCCATGTGGGATGCAATTTTTCATTATTTGAAACCCCATCGCAGCTTTTGCCGGGCGCCCTGAATATAGCTGGGTCACAATTGTGGTCATAACGGCTGAAAGGGGTTTCTGGGACTTCTCCATGGGTGACCCTCATCCGCATGGTGGCACGTTGTGTCACAGGAAGTTTATCACTTGTGTTATGTCCTGGTGGGGTACAAAAAGCAAGCAGTAATGTATGAGCTGGTCTGTGGCGAACTAACTTTGTAATGCTGGCGTGTCGGGTTTGATCCCAGCGCGGGCCTTGTGCCTTGCATTGGTTTTGACAGTGGTATCCAGAAGCGTAAATTTGCCTTTAAAAAAAACCACAACAGCCAAAAAATGCTGGGGCTAGTTCTGCAATGTCCTGTAAAGGATACGCAACTAACTAACTTAATGTATGAGCTGAAATTTTAGGTCGAGGTTTTATAATAATTTGCTAATGATTAAAAAAAATGTCATTCTAAAGACTAAAACTAGATTGTGGACAACTTCGTTGCCAAGTTTAACTGAGTCTTGAGGTGTGGATATGCAGAAGAATGGGTTATAAATTATGGGCGGGCAGGGGGAGGGGGGGAGGGATCAAGAGAGCTGAAGAGACAGAATGAAAAGAGACCTGCTGAGAGAAGTTAGAGATACAAGAGATATTTTGGGTTACATTAAACATCCTCATCATCATCAGGTGCCCTGCCAACTGGCGTAGGCGCTCAGGCGTCTCCACAGATCACGATCCCTGTCATGTGAGCCTGATATAATCAACATGTATGCAGCTGGCAAACTTACACAGAAACAACATACTACTGTTGGTATTATCCCTACCTGGGTGATCAACATTTGGCAGCATAGTTATGTACTCCTTGTATGAGGAGAGAGGACCGTCCTTGGGGATGTAGTAAGCTGGTAAGGAGGACATTCTGTGAGAAAACAGTTAAACATTCACATGACTCATTTGTTTCGAAGGTATGAATGGCAGAGGCATACATTTATTGGCTAAATTCCCCGTGTGGGTTCAGGGGCCCCTTTGTTGGGGAAACAAGAATAGACTCACTGCCTGCCCAACAAGCATGTCATAAGAGTCAACTAGTTGGGGCTGTCTTTGAAGTTAGAGTGCATCTGCCTGGGAGGCAAGGAACCAGCAGTCTACTTACATAAAAGTCAGATCTGTAGAATGGATGCACCTGCAACACTCAAGTTTTGGAACAGGACTTAAGTCCCCATGTGGACGAACAACCAGAACTTTCTGCTGGAGTTTTTGACCCATAGAAAGATACCTCTGTCAACCAAAGCAAATCTCATAAGAATGGTTTTTAGGCCGACATTGTGCTACCAATGCCAAACATGGACCCTTTCTACAACTAAACAGCAGGAGATCGTAATAACAGAAATGAGATGTCTTAGGAAAGCTGCCGGTGTGACAAGAAGAGATAAAATCAAGAATGAAGAAATTAGAAGAAAACTAGGACTGAAACAAGTCATTAGTTCTCGTTATGTCTAGTGGCACATGAGGCTTCAGAGAGGACTTTCCATGCTCTCCTGTCCTGTGCAATCTTCAGTGCAGTTTTCCATGTCAAAGATGCAGCACTCAGGTCACTTTCTATCGTTCGTCTCCATGTTGTTTTTGGGCGCCCCTTTTTTCTGTTTCCCTCTGGTATCCATGTGAGAGCTGTTTTGGCAGGTATATCAGGATTCATTCTCATAACGTGGCCAAGCCATTTCTATCTTCACTTGGTTATCATACTGTCTATAGTTTCTTGGTTTGTGACTTGAAGTAGTTTAGTGTTTGAGATTTATCTGGCCAGAAAGTTTTGATAATTCTTTGTAGACATGTGTGATGGAAGGTGGACAGCTTGTGTACATCCTTTTTGGTCATTCTCCAGCATTCTGCACCATAAAGAAGAACTGGCAAAATGATGCTCTTGTAGAGTCGGAGTTTTGTTCCTCTGCAGTAACTGTTGGATTTTCAAATTTGCCTCATCCTTCCAAAAGCAGCTCTAGCTTTGTTCAGACGTGACTGTATGTCCTCTTTGGTCCCTCCCGGCAGGGACACCACACTGCCAAGATATGTTAAATGTTCTACATTTTCAAGAGTTTGGTTATTTATGGTCACTATTTGTTGGTTTGGACTGCTTGTCATGATCTTTGTTTTCTTTGTATTTATTCTCAGTTCAACCATTTCTGCTGTGCTGTGTAGTCTGTTACTTTTCTCTTGTATATGTTCATTTGTATGTGATAGGAGTGCTGTATCATCTGCAAAATCAAGGTCCTCAAGCATGGTGAATGGAGTCCATCGTATGCCTTTCAATGTCTTGTCTTTTAGTATCCAATCAATCACAAGGTTGAAGAGGAGAGATGACATGACACATCCCTGTCTTACACCTGTCTTTACTGGGAAAGATGTATTGTAATTTTTTATACTGCAGGAAAAGTCTTTATAGAAAAGAGCAATTATGTTGACTATTTTTTCTGGAATTCCATAATGTCGTAAAATTTTCCACAGGCCGTCAAAAGCTTTCTCAAAGTCCACAAAATTAATATATATATACTTCTCTGCCATTCGTTGCATTGTTCTAAAATGTTACGTATGGCGAAGATGTGCTCAGTTGTTCCTCTGCCCTTTCTGAATCCTGCTTGTTCCACTCGTAGGCATTTATCTACTCCTTTTTCAAGCCGCATTATGATGATTTTACAAAATATTTTGCTTGGTACTGAGAGTAGAGTAATTCCTCTCCAATTATTGCAGTCTGTTAAATCTCCTTTTTTGGGGATTTGGACTATTGTTCCTTCAGTCCAGTCATCAGGCAAGACTTCATTTTCCGAAATTTCCTTGAATAATGGTTCTAGAATGTTAGCAGTTGTGTTGGGATCTACTTTGAGAAGTTCTGCTGGCAGTTCGTCTTTGCCTGGTGCTTTGTTGTTCTTTAACGTGTGGAAACCAGTCATACGATTCATTAAAGAACAACAAGTCAGGTGGTTTGGCCACCTGACAAGAATGCCCTGGTACCAACTGCCACAGAGAGTCACGCTGAAGAAATATAATAAACACAGAGCAAGGAGAAGACCACTCAAAAGATGGAGCGACACCATCAGTAGCAACCTAATAGAAATGAACACCAACTTGTACAATGCAATGGAAAAAGCACACAAACAATCCTTACATCTCCCCCCACCTCCTCAGTGAGGTAAATGGTGGAAGAGAAGAAAAAGATATAGATATTTATAAGTGGGTGAATAAAGAAAAAGAAGAAGATATTCAAGCACTAAACCATTACTGTCACATTTTCACCTGTAGAGTAAAAAAACATTTATATATATATATATATATATATATATAATATAATATATATATATATAAATATATATATATATATAAAATAGTTTGAAAAATGTGTGCTTAAATTCAGGACAAAAAGAAATGTTTTTAAAAATAATTTACTTGTAGAAAGGCACTATCAGCACTGATTCACACATGTAGTCATTAATGTAGGTCATCAGAAGGCGTCTGTCCCAGTCGTCAGTCACATGACCTCCGTAGTTAATGTTGGCAATTAAATACTTTAAAGCTTCCCATGGGGTGTCATCATAACCATCTAGGTAAATTGACAGCAAGTTCTCAGAGACCTGCGTAGAAAGAAAAACAAAGGTTACATTCCTACAGTGAATTTAAATAGTGAGAACTTCTTCTTAAAACCCATGTCAGACAACATTTCTAACTTTTTCAGGACTGATCGCCACTTAAGTGGCTTTTGAATCCACCACGTTTGGATGGAATGCAACATTAATCTCTTTTCATAGAGACACTCTAATATTGTTTCATTTGCTGAGAAAATGAATGTGTATGAACATGTTTTTAAAAACTAAAATTAGCAAAATGAAGTCTTTTTGCTTCCAAAGTCTGGCATGGTGAAGAGATTATTTTCTGATTTGTTTTAAATTAATTCAGTGTGATACAATTTGTATTTGATTTTTCCAGACCAAATGATAAGAGTAAATGTCTAAAACTGTTCATACTGCTCTGTTGTTGATGAATCTCGACTAGATAGTGACAATAGTCTTGATATTATGATTGATAATGCATGCACCGAACCTACTGCCGATAATATAGGTTAGGATGAAGTTAAAATATTTCAATTGGATCATCCCTGTCCCGATCAGCTGTGCCAGGAATTTAGTTGTTATGAAATTTGACATGTCATATAAAAATGGTCATACAATCTGAAGTATTTAAATTAATTGTTTTAAATAAAGACTAGCTGATGAATAATTGCACAGAGGAGGCATGTGCATTCTTAGAATCATTCCTGTCCCGATCAGCTGTGTCAGGAATTTGGTTGTTTTGAAATTTGACATGTCATATAAAAATGGTCATACAATCTAAAGTATTTAAATTAATTGTTTTAAATAAAGACTAGCTGATGAATAATTGAACAGAGGAGGCATGTGAATTCTTAGAAATGGATAGCAGTGTTTTTGAACAAGTAAAAAGTAAGGTAAGCACAACATTTTATGTGTAAATAATCTTCAGATGTGTCTAACCTCCTTGAATGCCGGGTGATTTTAATCAAATTTTGTTGCAATACTGATACTTAAACATAAGATTTATTCATTTCTCTCTATAGAGCCAATACTTTTTTTACTAAAAAAAATTCAGCCTGAAATCAATGCTGTTGTCCTGAAAGAGTTAATGATGTCCAACCACAGTCTTCTCTTTGAATAATTTCTGATACAGATATTGTTTGAATAATTTATGTTACATGTGTTCTCTGATTAATTTATGATACATAAGTTCTCTGAATAATATATGATATACATGTTCTTTGAATAATTTATGATACATATTTTCTTTGAATAATTTATGATACACATGTTCTTTTAATAATTTATGTTACATATGTTTTTTGAATAATTTATGATACACATGTCCTGTGAATAATTTATGATACATGTGTTCTTTGAATAATTTATGATACACATGTACTTTGCATATTTATGATACATCTGTTCTTTAAATAATTTCTGACACATTTGTTCTTTGAAAAATTTTGGATGTACTTGTTCTTCCAGTATTTGGACAGTTAGCGTCTCTCTTACAGCATAATACAATCCGGATCAGCACAAATAAACATCTCATACAAAGCATATTTGTTCCCACCCTATGTTACCAGAGCCAGACATAGTCACTCGCAACAAAACTTGAATGTTGAATGTTGAATTAAGACTTGGGACACTCCCATAAGTGTTTCGTTCGTTTCTTCAGCAGCAACCAAAAAGTTCAGATTCTAATGGCACCAATAACAGTCTAATTGTATATCCGTCTCATCCTTCCCCTGAGTGTTAAGCGTCAGCCAGATCCCCTGGTAACTCCTCACAGCGCCATTCTCCTCAGACCATAATGATCTATCTGTGCCTCCTCAATGTTCAAAGGGCCCTCACAACATCTAGCTTATAAATTTGTACTTAACAAAACCAGACAAGAAATTTAATAACCACTGAAATTAGATGTCTGAAAATGGCTGCAGGGATGACCAAAAGAAATAAAATCTGGAAAACGGTAATAAAAAAAATGTTGGTACAGAACCGATAAATTACATACAAAGACAGCAAATCAAATGGTCTGCCCACTTAGAGAGAATTCCTTGTGACATCAGACTATACAGAAAGTAAGTTGCGTATCCTTTTTGCGTAACCAACTCCATAATTTTTTGACTGTCGTGGTTTTTCTAGGCAAATCTGACATTCAGTAGTTTGCCACTGCTTTATGTTGGTACCACTGTTGAAACCAATGTAAGACAAATCGTCCGCAGCTGGGACTGAACCTAGCACTCCGGCATTACAAAGCACATTTGCAAAGCATTAGCCACAGACGCTGACATGATACTATACAAGATATATACTAAAAGAGGAGAAGGATGCAGAGCATGAGGTAGACCAAGAACAACATGGACAGATAACATCAGAGAAACTATAACAGTATGATGTGTCATTGGTTGGAGTGGCCAGAAGAGTAAGAAGAAGAACTGTATGTTTCCCTCAACATCCAAAGTAACAAAACAGGAAAGGAATAATAATAATAAGAAGAAGTAGAAGGATTGTATCTCATGCCATGATATCAAAATGTACAACATTTTCTCTCTTGGTCTCTTTCTGTCTCTCTTTCCCTTCAACATTCTCATTTTCACAACACTCTTCAGGTTTTCCCTTCCCACAAAATGGCAAATGTATGTAGAATGTAGTGAGTATTCAGTTTTATTTGTGAGATCATTTCTATCAACATCAGCACTGTATGCTTTTTATCTGTACAAGATGTTATCATTCTTCTATAAAATTACATCTCTGCAGCTTCCTCATAATTTCTAAATAATCTGCTGATTGTCCATGATTCACTTCTGTACATCAGGACTGTAAGAATTATTGCTCACCTCATTTCTTCTTCTTCTTCTTCGCGTTCACCAGCTGTAAACTCTGGCGGAAGGTTCTGGTTGCTCGTCTACTACTGAAATGCAGTCCTGCTCCAGAACCTGAGTGTTGCATGTGCATCAGTTTTACAGATCTCATTCTCTTGAATACAGACTGTTGGTTCCTTGCCTCTCCGGCAGACGCACTCCGTCTTCAAAGGAAGCTCCCCAATTAGTTGACTCTTACAACATGCTTTTGGGGAGGCAGTGGGTCTATTCTTGTTTTCCCCACAATGGGGCCCCGGAACCCACACAGGGGTGCTCACCTCATTTGATAAAGAGGTTATGTGTTATGCATTAATTATTGAGCACAAGCACACACATACATATAAACACACACAAGCACATAAATAAGCAAACACACACACACTAACACACACAAGTAAAACATCCACACCTACACACATATAAACACACACACACACACAAACACACACACATATACGCACCCACACACACATCATTAGGATATCATTCAACACAAACTCACTTCAAAGTCAGAATCATTGAATTCATAGGCAATGTTCCAGCCCAGCATGCGGAACTTCTTCCTCTCCAGCAAGACAGAGTGGAAGAAGCACAGAGTAAACAGCAGCTTCTTATACTTCTCCTGTTTGTGGCACCGGTGGAACTGCTGGTCTGTGATGAGGTTGTAGAGACGCTTCAGGTTGGCTTTTAGCCCCTTTAGACAAGAATATGGGGAAGATTAAGCTCGGCCTCTACTAAGATATAGAGATGTGTGCAAGCAGGGCATGAATGATACAGGTATAGAAGTAGATTCGTAGGAATAAAATGCCATAACTCGTGGAGGGGGGGGGGGGGGGGGGGGGGGCGGAGAGGCGGAAGGTTCAGAACGGGAATGGGAATAACGAAAAAAAATTGTTACAGAAAGGTTGAGAGCTGAACATCTGAGAAGAACACTATACACATGTGATAGTAACAACGGTCCTGAAACTGCATGCTCTAATTGTGGCTTTTCTCAACAAGACAATCTACATTCTTCAATCATAATATGAGAAGGAGAAAACTGGAGTACATCATCACAAAAGCTGGAGGTCTTGCGGGTCTTGCTAATCACATTCACTATCATCAATGGCTGTTATTCCAATGGCTCCCATTGGCACAATATAATATTATTGTCTGTTGAGACGGAAAGGTGCCAACATTGGTTAAGCTCAAGAGAAAGGTAGAATTACATTTAAATTCCAGACAAAGGAATGTTCATGCTCATATTCTAGAGAAAGAGAGTTTTTTGTTTAGATTTAGCAGACAGTTGTGTGAGTGTTTAGAACGTTCAGAAAGGTGAATTAATATTTAGATCTTGGTGAAAGATGGATTGATGCTTACAACCTGGAGAAAATATTCATGCCAGGGCTTGCAGATGTGCAAGGAAATGGGCAAGCTGATAGGCTTGGCGGTAAAGTTACTGTAGATGGTCGACCAGCCATGGACCAGTTTGACATTCTGAACACTCTNGCCAGAGATTGCAACGTGCGGGCACATCCTTTATGCTCCATCGGGCTGTATATTCTACGCTGCATATTTCTCTAACTTAAAATTAATAATGCCATTCGCAATCTCATGGGGATCCTAATGCGCGGCCACCCGGGGTGCGCACGGATGGGTAGCCACCTGACAAATATTGAAGGCCCTAAGATTCGCTGGGTCGAACGAGCCATTGTCCGGCAACGGGTCGCCGAAGGGTCGCCCGGTCGCGAAGGTTGGTCTGTAGGGATAGCCTGCTGCTAGGATGGTTGTGAGAATCAAGTGATGACTGTGAATCTACAGCCATGATCAGACTGCAAGAACAACACGATAAAAGAGGTGTGGGCAGACAAGAGCACCATGCAGGAAGCCAAAGGAGAATATGAAACCAACACAGAATGGGTGTTGTCAGCCTCTACATGCTGCAGGATCTAATGAGGATAAGAACTGATCACTTATAAAAGGAATGGTTCAATGTGCAATGAGAATAATCTGTGGAGTAACTAACTAACTAACTAACTAACTAACTAACTAACTAACTAACTAACTAACTAACTAACTAACTAACTAACTAACCAACTAACCGACTTACCGACTGACCGACTGACTGACTGACTGACTGACTGACTGACTGACTGACTGACTGACTGACTGACTGACTGACTAACTAACTAACTAACTAACTAACTGACTGACTGACTGACTGACTGACTGACTGACTGACTGACTGACTAACTAACTAACTAACCAACTAACTGACTAACTAACTAACTAGCTAACTTACTAACTAATTATCCTGGAGAAAAGTAAATAGATGTTTAAATATTAAAGAAAGGTTTTTTCTGAACACAGTGTTAAGATTTTTTTTAGAGACAGACTAATTAATAAATAGATAATAGAGAAATGTTTAATCACTTATTCTCCTCCTATGCCTACTTCTTTGTTTCCTTTTTGCCCTCCCCCCTCGGCTTTCATATTCCTTCTCCTCCAACTCTTTTTCATCTTCTTCTTGGTTCAGTATATTATTCTAAAATCTCTAAACTTCTTATTCAGCATTCCGAGCTCTTGAGGTTCATTGCTGCAGATATCACCCACCTCCATTCATCTCTCTGGTTGGCCTTCTCTTTCTAGTTGGTAACATCAAGTGTTTGCAGGTCTGTCTGGATATTATCTCTCCATTCTCTTCTTGGTCTGCCTCATGGTCTTTGACCATTCATCTCCCTTGTGTATACAGTTTTTACTTCTGTCATTTGACATTCTTTCAATATGCCCCAACCATTTCAGTCTATTAGCTTTCGTTATGCCAGTGATCAATGGTGATTTAAACAGATTATGAATTTCATTGTTGCTTCTCACTTTCCATTCCTGCTGTTTGCATCTTTGATGGGTCTAAAGATGGGTACAACAACTCTAAACAAAGATATTAATTAAAAATACATAGTACAATGTAAGTCTATGAATCAATTTAACACAAATAGAAAGTTATTTTCTTAGAAAAGTACCTTTGGAGGTTCTGTGGTCATCTTAATGCCTGTCTGCAGGATGGAGATTGGGAATTCTGGATGAGGAGATGAAGACAACCACAGACGGAAGTCTGGGTGAGGTTCTTCGACCTGCAGCTGCTCTACCAGCTTGTCTAGCGCAGGCATCCAGCTCAAGGACAAATGGCAATTAGCCAAGAATACCCACTTACCCTAAAAACAAAAACAAAATCTCTGTTACTTAGTTTAAAAAAAACTAACATTATTTTAGTCTGAGACCTTTAAAGACTGCTGCACAATCCTTATCCCAGACTGACACGGCCTAAAACAGGTACTAGAAAATATGGCGGGAAGTCAATAAGTAAGTCACAAATGGTTATGGGATAGCAGGAAAATTTAGTTGGTGGTTTCTAAAGGTGTCATTAGGTGATAGCAACATCAAACTTTATGTTTCCATTTGTTAGATGGTGCTAAGTGTTGTATGCACATTCACAACACAGAAACAAAATGGCGACTGTACTTACAGGGTGTACCCTCAAAGAACAACATTCTGTTGTGGGTTTTTTTTTCGGGAAGGCAGGAGAGGGGGGGGGGGGTGCAAAATGGTTGCCTGCAAATACATTCATAAGGTAATGCTTTATGTTTATGTTGGCAAATATTTATCCTGTAAAGCAGTTTAATATTTTTGATGAAGGCCTGCTGACTAGAGAAGTTCTGCTCCTTCACGACAATGCCAGACCACATATGACTCAGTTAACTCAGGAGAAATTTAACCATCTAGGGTGGGCATTTCTGGATCCTCCACCTTACAGCGCCAACTCAGCCCCTAGCAATTTCCACCTTTCCACTTTTTTGATCCACTGAAAACCCATCCTGGCAGCAGACATTTCGCAAATGGCACAGAAGTTAAAGAGAAAATGGGGTTTAGAAAACAGAACACTCAGTTCTAAGCAGCAGGTTTGGGAGGACTGATAAAATTATGGAACAAGGGCATCAATGTTGGTAGAAATTATGTTTAAAAAAAGGGACAGTGTATGTGTAAACATAAATGGTTTTCAACTTGTTACTGTCAATATTTTTTTAAAAACCATTTGTTACCTATTTACTTCCCCTCAGATCTTGGGAATTAAATACAGCACAAACATAATACAGACCATATTATCCATCAGAACTGACAGCACCATTCACCTGATAATAGTGAGAGAAGGATTTTTTACATTCTTTTTTTATAACTGTCAAAGTAAGAGCATTCAGATGTATAAATCTCCATCCCCATGTGAGACACAATTTTTCGTGATATTGAAGCACAACCCTGGCTCTTGCCAGGAACTCTAATATAACAAAATCTACGGGTTTCTGGGACCTCTCCACGGATGACCCTCATCCACATGGTGGCACTTTGTGTCACTGCATGTTTATCGCTTGTGTGATGTCTTAGTGGGATGAAAAATAAATAAATCAAGCATACAGAAATTTGGCTCATAATAACATTCCATTCACCGTGTGTAGCTAATCTCTTCTTCTTCTTCGCGTTCACCAGCTGTACACTCTGGCGGAAGGTTCTGGTTGCTCGTCTACTACTGAACTGCAGTCCTGCTCCAGAACCTGAGTGTTGCGTGTGCATCAGTTTTACAGATCTCATTCTCTTGAATACAGACTGTTGGTTCCTTGCCTCTCCGGCAGACGCACTCCGTCTTCAAAGGAAGCTCCCCAATTAGTTGACTCTTACAACATGCTTTTGGGGAGGCAGTGGGTCTTTTCTTGTTTTCCCCACAATGGGGCCCCGGAACCCACACAGGGGGTGTAGCTAATGACTTATACCAGCATTCTTTTTTAGGTGTCATTTCATGCTGGATGAAACTGTTTTTATATTATTATTTTCTTTTTCTAAATAACAACCAGGACACATACTACATTGGGCATATACCAAAGCAGGCACATACTGAGGTATCCTTTGTTTTTAATAATTACTACATTCCTCGTTTGTGTTAAAATTGAAGTTTAGGGCTTGGAGTATACCAACTTCTCAAATAGTGTAATAACAAATGCTTCCCTAAAATTCTCATAGAACCCACCTCTCTGATGACATACAATTTCTCGAACATTCCTACCTCTCTAACTCCTTCCTTTATCATCCTGGTAGCAATGGGAGCTTGACCTTGACCTAGTGACAGAGCATGGAATCTGGCTGCCATTCCACTGTTTTCTGCCAGCTGCAAAAGTCCACTGGTGGGATCCTGAGAATGTTTGTTTTAGACTCAGATTTCAAGCACAAAAATTAAATTACCACATTAAAACCTCCTTGCACCCCCTTTTCAGCCACCCCCCCCCCCCCTCCCTCCCCCCTTTTCCCCCTCAGGACATGCCCGTTCAAGGCCGGAGACCACCAATACTCTAACTTTTTGGTAGCAAAGAAAGCAGTATGTGCGACTTCTTCTTCTTCTTCTCGTTAATCGGCTGTGAATTCAGGTGGAAGTTAATCCGTTTGGACTTTTGGCTTTTACCTGGACCTGAGTTTTGAGTGTACATCCGTTTTACTGGCTTAATTGTTTGCCATTCCCTGCCTCAATGGCAGATCTACTCCGAAGCATGTGTGACTGTATTTACTGATGGGGACCAGTCACAATACTATTTATTATACTGGCACCATTTATGATTAGTCATGGCATAGTAAAACATCCAAAGACAAACCAGACTACTACAAGGGTTGTAAAACTAACGTTTCTTTCCCCATGGACTGCCCATATACACACTAGCTCACATCTGATTGGTAGACATTGAGCCACGAATTCTTGGCACAAGGTTACATGGGTTTTCCGCAATGTCGTTGATATCATGTGTTGTATATTTCAGCACATCAATGCTTTTAACACTCCAAAAACATGGTCAACCTGGATCTAACATGCATTCTCTTCCTCTGAATAAAAATGTAAATGCCTAAACAACCCAGAAAGCAAACAACAGAGTGGCACACCTGTAACCTGCAGGAAAATAGAAAGCCCAACAAACTTATGAATGAAACGTGACCTACTTTGTTGTGGGGGACCAACGTTAGTTTTACCGTTGAATGTGAATGTGGTATGCTCATTATCTTGTTGCTGTCAATTTTGTCTCATTTGATAATCAGCAAGGACCTTCTGGAACTGAAAGAGCTACTTCTTACCTCTAAATGTCTAAAAGGTGTAGGTAATTATAACAAAGTGTCTATTACACTAGTGCTGAAAACAAAAACAAACTATGCCTAAATAAAATAGGTGCTGGTACTGTGTACTGTTGAATGTTTCCAGAGAAAAAAAAAGCCCTGGAACTAACACTGTGCACACTGCAGTTAAAGAGGTGAAAACAAGTTATTTTACACAGAATATTAAAGTCTGATTTAAAATGAAGAGGAGATTTAAAATTAGTAGAACATACTTTGTTGCACCAGGTTTGATTATAACAGACTTTGTTGCAACAGGTTTGATTAGAACAGACTTTGTTGCACCAGGTTTGATTAGAACAGACTTTGTTGCACCAGGTTTGATTAGAGCAGACTTTGTTGCACCAGGTTTGATTAGAACAGACTTTGTTGCACCAGGTTTGATTAGAACAGACTTTGTTGCACCAGGCTTGATTAGAACAGACTTTGTTGCACCAGATTTGATCAGAGCAGACTTTGTTGCACCAGGTTTGATTAGAGCAGACTTTGTTGCACCAGGTTTAATTAGAACAGACTTTGTTGCACTGGGCTTGATTAGAGCAGACTTTGTTGCACCAGGTTTGATTAGAGCAGACTTTGTTGCACCAGGCTTGATTAGAGCAGACTTTGTTGCACCAGATTTGATCAGAGCAGACTTTGTTGCACCAGGTTTGATTAGAGCAGACTTTGTTGCACCAGGTTTAATTAGAACAGACTTTGTTGCACTGGGCTTGATTAGAGCAGACTTTGTTGCACCAGGTTTGATTAGAGCAGACTTTGTTGCACCAGGCTTGATTAGAGCAGACTTTGTTGCACCAGATTTGATCAGAGCAGACTTTGTTGCACCAGGTTTGATTAGAACAGACTTTGTTGCACCAGGTGTGATTAGAGCAGACTTTGTTGCACTGGGCTTGATTAGAACAGACTTTGTTGCACCAGGTTTGATTAGAGCAGACTTTGTTGCACCGTGTTTGATTAGAACAGACTCTTTTGCACCAGGTTTGATTAAAGCAGACTTTGTTGTACCAGGTTTGATTCCCAATATGAATAGGTCTCTTTACACAAAATGGCTAGCCACCTACTAAGAGCATATCCCAACTGCCTTAAGCATTTTTACTTCACTGTGAAAGCTTCAAGCCCATGCTGGGACAGACAAGATTTTCACTAGTTTTCAAATGGAACAGTAAGAGATATTTTGTTCGATTTTCACTGGTATAGAAACACAGTTATATGTGAACCATATGCAGTAATGCTGAAACCTTGACTAACGACTAAATTTCCACAATTTCAAAGATCCAGTGAAAATTAATAGGATCTCAATACAAATGGCATTCATGAATCAAACAGCACAATCCATAAAACAAACACAAGAATTTTCAGAGGCCAAGTTCCTTCTTATGAAACAGCAAGAGTACTTACAACACCAGGAGACAGTACAAAGATGAGCGGTGTTCTAGTTGTAGAATCATCAACCACGGTCTGCATGTCAAGAACTGGTGGCTCAGTGAACTTTGACCCCAGGTTATTAATAATAAATGAGGTGGCACAGAAGGAGATCCTGTCTGGACGTAGTGAGCGAACAATTAACATCCGCTGAAGCTCATTGCAAGCATTATCCCATTCTCCTGTTAAGAAAGCCAAGAGAACTTGTCATTGAAACACACACAAAAAGTAAATATAATTTTATAAGCAATGCTGATAATATGTTCTACTGCAGCACAAAATATAAGGAATTTCAGGTGCAACACTGTTTCAATTATTCAGTTTTCAGAACTCGCGAATTTGCCAGCATCAGCGAGAGTTCTTTCCCCTCCCTTTCATGCCGCTACCAGTCGCAGGGCCTGTTCTACGCTGTGGGAGTGTTATGAGATAGCTTCATTCAGCTTTGGCTTATATAATGTTTGTGGTAGGTTGTGTTGTTGTGTCTCTTTTAGGGGCTGCAGGTACCTGTGTACAAGTAAGAAGTACTGTAGGGAAAAAATGCTGAAGGTGCGGACTGTTCATGAGAATAACAACTGGAATGTTTTTGTATTTCTAAGTTCCTTGGCAGTGGCTTCCCTGTCAGAAAAAGAAGCCACTGAAAGTGAATGCAGAAATAAAAAAAAAACATTCCAGCTGGGATACACACAAATCATCGGGTAAGTAGCACAACGTGGAAATAATCACTCAAATGAGCAGTGACAACACGAGAAGAGAGACAACAGAACTATTGAAAATAAAGAATTCATGACACCTATACAGCATAGGACAGGCTGTGCAGCCAGCTGCGGCATGAGTGGGAGGGAAAGGAACTCTCGCCGTACAGGAAAGATAGTGATAAGTAACAAATTTACATATTACATTTCCTCAAATAACCTCTCAAACACTCTCCTACCATATCTTTTTTGCAGTCACTACTTGAATTTTGGTCCACATCCATTTGACAGATCTGGCTTATTTGTAAATAAACTGCTGGCTCCATGTCTCTCAGCCAGAGGCACTCTGACTTTATAGGGGTTGTCACTATTTACATGAACTTTATGGTATGCTTGTTAAGGGGGGCAGAGGATCCACCCCCCCCCCCCTAAAATGGGGCCTGGAACCCCTATGAGGAATTTTATGTAGTTTTATCAATATGTTTCTGCAAGCTGATAAGGTCTGTCTAACTAAAACATTAATGTTATCATTTGTAACTGTATTTTATAAGCAAGCTCGCAAGATCTGCTTCTTGTCTGGATCCCTTTCTCTCCCCCCCACACCTATGAATGGGATGGTCACATGTGAGGATTACATTGTTGAAGCTATTCAAGCTCTGTATGACAGAGTAATACATAAATCATCATTATCATCAAGTGCTTTGCCGGAATGGTGTGGGTAAACATGCCTCTCCACAATCTGCAGTCTGCAGCTGTGTGTATCAGTTTGAAGCTGACACCCCTCCATGCCATGACAAAAGGTTGTCAAGAATCTTCTTACCTATCTGCAGTCTGCAGCTGTGTGTATCAGTTTGAAGCTGACACCCCTCCATGCCATGACAAAAGGTTGTCAAGAATCTTCTTACCTATCTTCCCCTGTCTCTCTTTCCACAGATCTTTTCAGTGGTTACAACATGACCCAAATATTATGACTTTTTTTTTTTTTTTCTGATGTTTGCAATAAGTTGTCTTTAAGCCCTCCACTCTTTCAAAACAAGTGAGTTGGTATTTTATGGCTATCAAAGGAATTAGAATAATTCTTCTTTAAAACCACATTTCTGAGGCCTCATGAAATTGTTTGGCCTGTTTATTAATTGTCCAGAATTATTTCTTTCTTACCTCTGGTGACATGGATTTATTGCATAAAATGTTCTTTAATAAAATGTGGTTTTAACCTCTCCCATTGTGATATTTATCTTTTTTTTACATCTTCCCTTGAATGTTATCCATGTACCCAAGGTTAGTTGTGTATCCTTTACAGGATGTTGCAGAACCAACCCCAGCAGCCCCTGGCTGTTATGTGGTGTTTCTAGGCAAATTTACGTCCAGTAGTTTGCCATTTCCTGCTGGACGGTCGGCTTTCTTGATACCATTGTCGAAACCAATGCAAGGCGCATGGCCCGCAGTTGGGATCGAACCCGGCATCCCGGCATTATGAAGCGTTCGCATCGACTTAGCCACAGAGCCGACATCCATGTACCTAGAAAACTAAATTAAATAGATCACTGTAGTGTAGGGTCTGCAGGTTAGATCTTGCCCACAAGGAACTAGCAAATATTCTAGGGTTCTTTGCCAGTTATATTATATTAATGAGTTTTCTACACTGGGGCTGGGGGCGCTCGATGCGGATCAGAAGGTCGTGGGTTCGCTCCCTGGCAGAGCCGGACTTTTTAAAAAATGACCTTGGCTCCCAGGTCGACCCAGCCTTGAGTGGGTACCAGGTGTAGTCCCTGGAAGTAGAGGCGGCCGGCATGATGCAGACAACATCACCTATCTTGTGCCAATTGGTCTATACAAATATAGGTCTAGCCCTATATGCCCTATATGCCTAAAGGCCTGGAAAAGGGTCCTTTACTTTACTACTTTTTACAGTGAGGCTTGGACCTCTGGCCTGTGACAATCTCCATTTTTAAACTTTTGGCCCCTGAGTTAACTTAGTTGAACAGCCTTGTTGTAGTAGAATCCAGGCTAAATGTACAAGCTCTGTAAAAACAGCAATCACCCAAATCCTATATTGTGTGACAGGTAGGTATACACTAATTTTTAATAAAGTATTTGTAATACTTTTTGGCTAAAATAAGGGTTGTGAAAAAATGTTTTCCCATGTGGGACAAATTTTTCGTTATCTTGAAGCCCCACCCTGCTTGTTACTGGGTGCCCTATAACCTAATGGTTGAAGTGGGTTTCTGGGACTTCTCCAGGGTGATCCTCATTCCAATGGTGGCACTTTGTGTCATCGGGCGTTTATCACTCAGTGAGATGTCCTAGTGGGGTAAAAATTAAGTCAGTCAGTTGTTTAAAAAAATTGTCAAATATTTTAACCATATCAAACGTCATAAAACTCAAAGTAGGTCAGCAATAAATCAACAGCAATACAGTTGGAAGGATAAACTCCAGAGATGGGCAATCAGAAGTCTACAGAATCTGCAGCTCTGTGGTTGCCATTTATGTGAAATCTGTTCACTGTCCAAATCTTGGCATACTAAGATTCAATTCCTGCAGCTCTGTGGTTGCCATTTATGTGAAATCTGTTCACTGTCCAAATCTTGGCATACTAAGATTCAATTCCTGCAGCTCTGTGGTTGCCATTTATGTGAAATCTGTTCACTGTCCAAATCTTGGCATACTAAAAATCAATTCCTGCAGCTCTGTGGTTGCCATTTATGTGAAATCAGTTCACTGTCCAAATCTTGGCATACTAAGGTTCAGTTCCTGCAGCTCTGTGGTTGCCACTTATGTGAAATCAGTTCACTGTCCAAATCTTGGCATACTAAGGTTCAATTCCTGCAGCTCTGTGGTTGCTATTTATGGGAAATCAGTTCACTGTCCAAATCTTGGCATACTAAAAATCAATTCCTGCAGCTCTGTGGTTGCTATTTATGGGAAATCAGTTCACTGTCCAAATCTTGGCACACTAAGGTTCAATTCCTGCAGTGGGTAGAATAAAAACAGATTATTCTCATGGCTTTCTGACAGTGGTACCAGAATCATGTCATGGAAGAGATTGGAGCCTTCTTCATCTGCTTCTTCTTCTTTTGTCATTTTACTGATACCAGGTTGTAGCCCAATGTTGTGGTTTTCTGTCTTGCACTTGGGGGGTGGATTTGTTCATCTTTCTGCAGGGTACTGCGTCACCATTTACCCATCTCTTTCTTGGTCTTCCTCTTGCCTTCCTCTCAGATGTTTTGCTGTAAAGAGTCTCACAGGCAGTTTGGTCTGTCTACATTCTCATTTGATGGCCTAACCATTTCATTCTTTGTCTGTCAATATAATCCAGACATGGTCTTATTCCAACTTTCTGTCTAATGATAGTATTTATAACCCTGTCTCTTCTTGTGTTGTTAGTGACCTTGCAGAGATGGCGCATTTCACATGTAGTTATTTTCTGTTCCAATGCCCTATTCATTGTCCATGTTTGCACTGATTACATAAAGAAGGGATAAAGATACTATTAATCATTTGCTGTTTTGCTGGAAGGGAGACATTTGGGTGTCTAAACAGTGGGGCCAACTGGTAGGTGACATCATTTGCCTTCTCAGCTTTGGCTTCTATCTCTCTGTCAAATATGCCATTCTCTGTGATTGGGGCCTTTCTATCTAATGGTCCCAAAGAATCTTAGGATGCACTGTGTAGATCTTCTTCTTCTTCTTCACTTCCTCTTTTACCGCTGTGGGTGTCGAAGGGAGATATAAGGTTCTATTTCTAGCTCTTCTGGCTGCCTCGACCATAGGTACATCGTGATGTTGTAGAGTTTCTCTGATGTTATCCTTTCATCTTGTTCTTGGTCTACCCCGTGCTCTACGTCCTTCTTCTCTTTCCATGTAGATACCATGTTAAAATACAAATTATTAATGGTTTGAAGAATGAAGAAGGAGGAGATTTGGAAGTTGACAAGATCAGAAAAACCAACCTGGCAAGGATGTGTTCTCAGGCTCTGCAGATGTGTACCACATGTTCCAGTCCCGTGGGTACTGCTCGAAAGATGTGATGATGCCGTGAAAGTTGGTCAACTTATCCAACTCAGTGATGTTGTCCCAAGAGTCATCAGACAACCAGTTAGTGCATGGGTTGTCCATCTGGTTCTCTCTGTCTAGGACCTAAAGAGAAACAACGATTTGCTACAGACATCTTAAACCAGCAAAAGTGATGATGTAAATAGGGGTGAGTGCATCCAAGCTGATGACAAAAGTGCTTCTGGTCAAAATGGAGGGTAGGCACGTTCACTGTTTATAGCTGTAGCAAATGTTTGCTTCTGACAGCATGTGGCCGTTGCATTTTCCTTCATTTCTAGACTGAAAGGATATAGTTTTGTCACTCAGCTACTGAGTTGACTTTGTGGTGTAACAATGTGAGCTGTGGATTATATTTGGAATGTTTTTTTTTATTATTGTGACTACTGTGATGTTGTGGGCTGCAGATTCAGAAAAAGGTGAGTGGCCTTTTGCCACAAAATCGATGGTGCCATATGTGATTAAAATTAATCGTGTGTGCAACTCTTGATCTGTTCGTCGCTAATGAACTGCTTTTATAATGTTTGTATTAGCACTTCTGATGGCTGTCTTATGTTTTTAATGTGTGTGTTTGCTTGTGAAGCAGATATGCTGGCACTGTATTCTGTGTCAAACTCTCCACAAGCAATGGTGATGAGCATTTTTATGTATTTTTCTTGAAACAGGAGCACAGCAACTATGGGGTGACCTATCTGCTATAAAGCTGAAATTAAAATTACCAGATTACCACTCCAAAATAATGTTACATGTGTCTAAAAAGCTTAACTAAGGGAAAGGAAAAAAAAAATGCACACACATGCAACGGTAAACAGGAGTTGACTGCAGTTCCGCCACTTACATATTTTTTGGGGGGTTTCATGTTGACTCTGGTTGTTTAGATTCTCTTTTGTCTTGTCTGTTGAGTTTTTCTGTCACAGTTTGTGTTGTATTTAGTACTTCACTGATAAAGATTATGGTTGAAACAATCGGGTTTATTCATGCATGACTGTTCCATTCCCTCTGGTGAGCTTTCTAGTTCTGTTTTATGTTCTTCTTCTTCTTCTTTTTCTTCTTTACGTTCATGGACTGTAAACTCCAGTGGAAAGTTCTGGTTTTTCATCCACCTCTGGAATTTAGACTTGTTCCAGAACCTGAGTGTTGTGTGCACATCTGTTTTACAGATCTGACTTTGTATGTTGACTGTTGGTTCCTTGCCTCTCAGGCAGATGCACTTCTTAAACCAAAAGTATGTTATTTCAGACAACACATTTCTTGTCTGGGTTCAGGGGTCCATTTAAGGATGAAACTAAAAGAACTGACCTACTGCCTCCTTAACAAGGATATCATATACAAGGTGATGATGTATTTAATCTTTGCTGAAAGGTGCAGACAATGCAGCTTAGCTGTTGATTGCAACAACAACAAATATGTAAAAAAAAAAAAAAAATTTAAAAGAGGAAGAGCACAAGATAAGAGGGATGAGAAGAGATCAAGATAAAGAGAAGAAAGGCAGAAAAATAGAAGGAGAGACAGAGAGAAGAAGAAGCAGTCAATTATTTCCTTTACTAATACATGATAAAAACATAAACATTCAATCAGGGCACACAAAAATAACGGGGGGAAAAAAGGAAAATGGTCAATAACCAAAATTAATGTGCTTTTGTTGCACAATTAATCTTAGTAGTTTAGGGTTATGAACACAGTTTCACAATCCGGACACACTGCAATCAGTTTAGCTTCAGGTAAATTGACAACAGCAGACTACTTTGCATTGACTTCAACAATGGTTTCAGTGTTGACTTCTCAGAAAGCAATGTCAGACTACAGAAATTAACACTGCTAGGTTCCCACAACAGTTGACATAACCTGGTATCAGTGAGACACAAAAGAAGAGAAAGATATACAAAAGCCTACAATTCAGAGTAGTAAAAAGATCAACTCACTAGGCCACCTCTGAGAAAGAAGTTATACTCATCCATGTTGAGTTTCCCAGCTTGTTCCAAGATTTTCGCACACATCTGGAAGGAAAAGATGAGCTTGTGCTTTTCAAACAAGCCTCTGCAGGTATATCTGAGGATAAAGAATGACATTTCAGCAATGATATCACGAAAATACATCAAACCAAACAGACAGCTTCACAATATCATAAACACAAATAACAAGTAAATGTTGTGGCCAGAGAACCTCCAACAGAACATTACATACATTTAAAATACCACAAGTATGAAAAAGACCCCCCCCCCCCCCCCCCCCCCCCCAAAATCGGTTCTTTATTAATATCCAACCCCAGATGATGTCACAGGACAGGCCAACATTTTTAGAGGGTGGTAAGATTTGGTATATCTGTCTTTCTAATGCGTTTAACGACCCCAAAACATCTAGAACTGGCCCTAACACCAACCCACCTATGTCCCATGAGAGAGTACAGCCTAGGGCCGCAACTGCATGCAGCCTAGGTCCCACAATTGCATGCAGCCTATCTACCACCCCCTGAAATATTAGACTGTCCCATGACCTGTGGATTTCCCCTGTTTGGGGTAGGATATTAATAAAGCATTAAAAAATCACTTAACTGACATGTCTCCAATAGAAATCACATATTAATAAAGATAACAAAATATAAAAAAATGCTTTCTTTCCAAGACCAATGTTATATTACTATATAGTATTAATATAGTGATTACTGTAGCTTATGGGAGTTGCCATGGTGTAGCTAGGTGCTCGTGTGCAGATTGGAAGGTCAGTCAGTCTGCTCCCTGGTGGAGCTGGACTTTTGTCAAAAATGACCTTGACTCCCAGGTCGACGCAGTCTTGAGTGGGTACCGGGTGCAGTCCTGGGAAGTAAAAGTGGCCGGCATGATGCTGACAACATCACCCATCTTGTGCTGATTGGTCTATAAAAATATAAGTCTAGACCTATATGCCCTTTGGGAGTCATCATGGCCGAGCGGCTAGACGCTCGCCGTGGATCGGAAGGTCGTGGGTTCGCTCCCTGGTGGAGCCGGACTTCTTTCAAAAATGACCTTGAGCTCGACCCAGCCTTGAGTGGGTACCAGGTGCAGTCCTGGGAAGTAAGGGTGGCCTGCATGATGCTGACAACATCACCCACAATCTTCCTTGATGTTCAGATCTTTCAAGATGTCAGTATTTCTCCTCTTCTTTGTCCAAGATATTCTGAGAACCTTTCTATAGCATTTTAGCTCAAAAGACCCTATATTTTTGGTTCCATGATAGGTTTCTTGCAATAGTAATGCAGTAGATTCAACACTATAGTTAATGTAAATTCACTTTACCTGTACACAGAGAATGTGTGATATTCATTCAGGTTGTTTATTCTCTCCTCCAATTTTGAAGAGCGCTGGGACTTCTCAATTGACAGTACAAATAAATCAATGTATGAATCCAATGAGAACTGGTACATTGGGTCAATGAGACCCATGTCGCTGAGGACGAAGAAAAGTGTCGATGCTCTCTGGGCACAAGGGCGGTAACACTGGCAAGAAAACAAAGAAGATGCGGTTACTTGGACAGCATTACATTATCTGCTCAAAAACATGTTTATTATCAGTTCACAGCATCACATAAAGCACAGGCTCCATAGCTTCAGCAATGATCTTCAGTAAGTAAAGTAAAGGACCCTTTTCCCGGTCTTCAAGTTTATTGGGGATATTTGTCTAAACCTATATTTTATAGACCAGTTGACCCATGGTAGGTCATGTGGCCAACATAAAGTCACCTTTACTTCCAAGAACTAGATTTAGCACCCACACAAGGCTGGGTCAAGCTGGGAGCCAAGGTAATTTACAAAAACAAAGTGTTGCATTGTCAGGACTCAAACCCACAACCTTCTAATCCACAAGTGAGCGTCTAACTGCTAGACCACGGCGGATCCCCAGGGTTTCTGTAAAAACTGCAGATGGCCAGCCTACAGATCAGGTCACTGTTGTTAATGCCCTTAGAGAAAAAAGAAACATTGATGATTTGGGAGGGAGGGGGTGAGGGCAGTGCACCTTCAATGCTGCTAAGAGTAAAAGAACTGGTTGTAAAGGTCTGCCCAGCAGATATTCAAGTAAATCTGCTCAGGGGTCGAAATGTTGAAAATAGGGATCCTCACAGGCCAGATGCCAGAGCCTCAGGTGGTAATGATCAGTAGGTCACTGGCTAGGACTTTGCCGGGTGGATTCAGCCCATGGGCCACTAATTGCAGAAAGGAGCGGTTTACAAGTATGGATGTACATGGAGTCTCTTGAGGATAAGCTGAATTTTGTGCTCAAATGATAAAGACTTTGGTCAAAACGTTCGGCTGTGTTTGTGTGCCTTTTTTCTATTTCCACTGTTGAGCTTTCTAATCACAGTTTGTGTTATTTTTAGCATTTCCCCAACTGAATAACTCTTCTCTAGAGGATCATCATCAAGTGCCTTGCCAGCTGGAGTAGGCGTAAATGTGTCAACACAGATCTCGGTCTTTGGTGTTCTCGATTAATTCTACTTATGACATTCCTCCATGTCTCTGTCTTAAGCCATTCACCTTCATTTCTCTTGGTCTGCCTCTGCCTCTACTACCAGTGATCTTTCCAGTCGTCATGATATTTTCCAGTGCTCCTGTTCTTATTACATGACCAAAGAACTTTGTTTGTCTCCTTCTCATTGTTGTATATAATGCTGTTCTACTTTCACTGGCCATTTTCAGGCATTCAATTTTGGTTATTCTGGCAGTCCAAAGCATTCTCAACATTTTTCTCAAGAACCACCACAACTCAGTTGCCTCCAAACTCTTCTTAATTTGTTTGTTCACATTCCAAGATTCACTACCATCCAACAGAACAGGCTTTAGAGGATACAAGATGTATAACAGATCTTGTCAACCAACATAGAACTGAACTATTAGTCTCAAGACACTGAAGTATTTGTTACTGAAAAGGGCTGGGGGGATCTGAACACCTATGGATGCACATGGAGTGATGTGAGGATAAGCCAATTCATAAGACAAAGAACTCTCTTTTGCAAAAAGTAAAAAATAGTGCAAACCTCTCGAGCAGCATCAATTTTAATTTCTGTTTGCTGAGCGATATTGACAGACTCTGTGACTTCCTGTGAGGTTGTCTTGGACAACTGCAGGGTGTTGACCAGCTGGGCGTCATCCAGTAGTGACCCTTTAGTTTCGTTCAGTAACCTGTCCAAAAAAAAAAAAATATTAGTTTAACTGAACATTGTGGTTTACACCTTTCTGTATTTCCAAACAGTGGTGATATATTGTGCTACATAGAACAGTAGTTGCTAGGCAGTAGGGAACAACTGTACAAACCTCTATCTTCACTCACTATAAAATGACATGGAAACCACAATCCTTGTGCCAATACTTTCCCATCTCTGCCTACCTGGCAAGCATGTCAAAAATGTCAACTTATTAGGGGTGTTTCCTTTAAAGTAGGAGTGGATCTGCCTGAGAGGCAAGGAACCAACAGTCTTCATACAAAAAAACAAGATCTGTTAAACAGATGTGCACATAAAACTCAAGTTCTGGAGAAGACTAAATTCCAGAAGTGGATGAACAACCACAACTTTACAGTTACTGAACACTAAAAAAGAAAAAAAAAAGATATTGTGCCAGACGGAGGCATGGGACTCACAGTCCATGGTGATAGCAGCTAGCATGTCACGCTTGAATTAGGAAATGTCTTCTTGTTATTAAAATACCATGAACCAAGAAAAACACTGACATTGTACATGATTTGAATGTCAAGGAAAACAGGCTCATAAACAGCATCCTATCCTGAAAGGTGATGTATTTTGGTCATGTTCAAAGTCATGGTGACCTGGGAAAATGGTGATGGAGAGTCTGGTTTCCTGAAATAGAAACAGACCAACCTCGGTGAATGTAAATACAGGACAATGAAGAAATACTGGCTATGAAAGCACACAGGGCTGGATATTGGCTAGAGACTATCAGACATGTTGTGACTAGAGTGTTGTTCTTTAAAGAACCTGCTGTAAAGAACCTGCTGTAAAGAACCTGCTGTAAAGAACCTGCTGTAAAAAACCTGCTGATTAATGTTAAATGTTGTTACATCAGCATAATTTCCTTGTTTGTGTTGTGTTTTTGTGTGTTATTGTTAGCTGATGAAAGTTTGTGGTGGCAACCTGCTTTGTTGTTTTGATATTGTAATGTAACTGTAGCTCTCTGGTGGCTAGAGAATGATGCATACGCATGTCATAATTGTAACCGACTCTTAAAGCATGATGAGAAAGGTGAAGACAGATGCTTCGAGCAGAGTGGCAAGCTTTACTGGGAAGGTCACACGAAGTGAGCATACTATGGATTTTTTCTCCAGGCCATGCCAGCATGGTGGGTAATAAACAGGCAGACAGACTGGCTGGATCTGCACCACTGGGTGATGACAGGGCAGATGTGATCAAGGCCCTTTAGGAACAAGCAAAAGAATCAGTAGAAAAACAAGATTATTATGGCCTGGAGAAAATAAGGCAACTGTGTGTAACCAGAGGGTCTGGCCAGCTCATTACACACAGAGCAGGCATGGGAATGCCCTGAGTGCTTTGATGTCAATTCTTGACTCAACTCATACTCTAATGTGTTCTGTAAAGCTGACAAAGATGATGTTTTTCCAGTTTTCTTTTCTACATTGTCATATCCATACTTAGTCACCTCATGTCAATACTAGCTAGATTTTACACTGAACACAGATTTATGGGGCAACAATTTGTCTAGTGGCTTTTCTGACCTTTTCTGACACTTTTAAAGATTATAAATCCATTGCCCTAGGCTCTAAAGCAGTGGTTCTCAACCTTATTAACTCTTTAAGGCCCACATGACGGTGTGAGCGTTGTTTGAGAGGGTTCCGTTTTGCCCAGTGTTATCGTCACTCATGAGTTCCTTATATTTTGCTTCGCACGCGGCTTCGTTCTAGTTTCTAATGTTTGGAGGTACGATTAAACTATTCAGGGAAAGTCACTCTGCTGAAATCCTTTTAGTTTCATTTCCTGGACTAAACCACACATGGATAATTTGAGAGAAAACACGGCGACATTTTTTTTTAGCAGTTCATTTTCTAAGTTCGTTTTTTAGTGCCATAAATACCAATGTTACAAATACAGGTCGCAGAATGCATCTTTCTGCTGCCAAAGCTCTGAAATTGTTTCAGTCAGATGTTCTTAACTGTGATAATAACAATAAACATTTAGATTTTTCGGAAAGTGATTCGGACGGTGAATTTTCACCAGTGAAGCTGAGCGATCAGCTGTTCGGAATCTAGCAATTCTGATGAGTTTATTACACAATATCCCATTGCTACCATTTTTATGGTGTAAGAGAAGGAAAGTGCTCTAAACAAAGAGACAGTACTATACTATGGCTAAGCTATACTAAAATCATCGCAGTTACAGTCTGTAAATAACTGTACAAAGTAAATAATAAATATTGTGTGTGTAATGGCTTATTTTTCTGCCATTTTATCTCTGAAATATTGCTCAGCACTCTGTGAGAACTAAGATCTCCTGAGTGCTAAACTTACCCAGAAAGTTATTATAACTTGGAATATGTTAAGAAATTGAACAAACTATGAAGTTTTGTTCTCAAATTTGGATATTTGCTACTCTTGTGGCTGCAAAACCATGGTAAGTGAAGAATTTTTTTGTTAAATGTTGTCCTTGTAAAATTAACACCTGCTGAATTCTTCTTTCACACTAACTATAACAAAATTAAACAAACACTTATCATCGGATTCAAAATGTACATTCATTTCTCTTTTAAAAAATATATACTTTTAGAGGGATTAGAAGTATATTACAATCTCTACAGCCTTTCTTGTGCACCCACCCCTCTGCCATTTTTGCAAAGGGAAATAAAGTTGGGCCAAGTCTGTCAAAATTAATGGGCCTTAAAGAGTTAATGCCGTGACCCTTTAATTCAGTTCCTCATGTTGTGGTAACCCCCAAACCATACATTTTTTTCCATCACTACTGCATACATTTAATGAATATGTGTTTTGCGATGGTGATCCCTGCGAATTGGTATTTCAACCTACAAAAGAGGTCCAGATCCATTCGTTGAGAACTGCTGCTCTAAAGGTAGTATGTCTGGCTCTGACTGCATAATACAGTTCATCAATGTCATTTTTGTCCAGAGATCCTTTGTGGTCAAAGATACAGAGTTACTGCCTTGAAAGACTGAAGCGAGTGATTGAGCCATTGAGATAACATCTTGTGTAATAAATCAAACACGCACTTCAAATAATAATAATAATGCACATGAGCTACTCCACTCACCGGAGAATCTCATCTTCACATTCGACCAGCTTCTTCTTGCCAGCTGCAATGCTGCGTACCAAGTTATCCTTTTGTTCTTCCAGTTCAGGTCTCTCCTTTCTGACCACAATTCCAAGTAGCTGAGCTTCCAAGCCTGCAACAACAGATGAAAGAAAATGCAATCATGAATGTCCCTGACCTTCCAGTTGCTTACTTTCAATCAGCTGGAAAACATAGTGTTTAAAGCTAGATATATTTTATTTATCTTAAGATGAATCTTTGAACCCACCAAAGATGCAAGCAGCTGGGAACAGAGACTGAGAAACAATAACAAAATTTATAATCTACTGGGGGCCGTGTTAGCACAGTCAATAGTAGACTGGTTTTCAAATCCAGGTGCAACTCACTGCAGCACACGTCAGGTGTTCGAAACCAGGTGGTTCCCGAAGTTCACCCAGCCTCTAGGAAATGGGTACCAGAGTTAACACTCAGGGGTATGGTATATAGAGGAATGTCACTGTAAGCTACGGAGTTTCGTGTGGACAGCGACACAGGCGGACAGTTTTTTATCAGTTGTCCGTACTGGTGGCAAAGCACTTATGGTTTATAACCATGTGCAGTGACACTGGTTCACATCTTCCCACTTTATCTTTTACCTTTTATAATCTGCTTATACCACTACTGATAACCTTTTACCTTTTATAATCTGTTTATACCACCGCTGATAACCTTTTACCTTTTATAATCTGTTTAAACCTCCACTGATAAACTTTTACCTTTTATAATCTGTTTAAACCACCACTAATAACCTTTTACCTTTCATAACCTGATAACTGGCATGATGAGAGTTAAGAGACTGAAATGACTGGGGCATACTGAAAGAATGCCATATGACAGAGAGTTAGAAACTCTATTCCCTAGGAAGCCGAATGGTTGCTGACCATGAGGCAGACCTAGAAAACTGTAGAAGATAATATTCAGGCAGATCTACAAACACTTGGTCTCACCACCTGAAAAGTAAAGGCCAACCAGAGAGATAAATGGAGTTGAGTGATATCTGAAGAAGGAGGAGGATTGGAAGAAAGAAAGTGAGGAAAAGAAGAAGAAGAAGAATCCTTCAGGTTATTGTATAAACAGACCAACCTTGTTCTTTTATAGCAAAGTTGACAACGGTAGCCTTTGTTGAAATCTCAGGTGTGTAGTGGGGATTGCTGAGTCTTGTCGTTATGTAGAAACGGAAAGAATCATTGTACTCAATCTCCTTGTCACCTAGTCTCATGATGTACGCACCACCTGTACAGGAAGTTAATTTTTGAATAATTTGTCTCCCTTTACATTAGGATTGATGTAAAATGGTAAGACAAAGTTAAAAGTTCCTGGTAAGGTCATAGATTTTTTTAGCTGTTTTTGAAGAACATTAAAATTCCAGCCTGAAAAGTTTGCGGTGACTGCACTAACCATCATCATCATGTGCCCTGCCAACTGACGTAGGTGCTGGTGCTTCTCCACAGATCACTATCCCTGGTTGCCTGGAACAACTCTCTTGGTGATATCACTCCATGACATCATTTCAGCCCATCCAGCATCATCTCTCTTGGTCTGCCTCGACCCCTTTTTCCAATAAATATCTGGCTTTAAATCAACTCTCCAGGCTCAAAAACTCATTCTCTTACACTGCTCTAAAAAGTGGTACATACCAACTGTAAAGAGACTAAGACAAAATTAGGATGATGATAATGGTATCAAAAAAATCAACCAGTCAGCTTCTCCTTTGCAGAATGGCATGACTGTAAGTCTCTCTTTCTCTAGCTGATTCTCCAGCCCTATGTGCTTTCTTAGCCTTGGTGGAGGTTGGCCTCTGCCTCATTTTTCCAGAAACTGCACCCTCCATCACCGTTCTCTCCAGGCCATGATGACACTTGACGTAATCAAAATACCTCAACATTTTGGAAAGGATGCTGTTTACCAGCCAGTTTTCCTTCATGTTCAGGTCATGCAGGATGCCAACATTTTTCTTATTCTTGGTCCATGGGACTGTAAGCATTTTTCTGCAGCATTTCAGTTCAAAAGCTAGGATTTTCTTCTTCAAATACTGTGTGAGGGTATATGGCTCACATCCATAAGTTGCCAGGGGAAAGATGCATGATCTAAAAATATTCAACTTGCTTGCAGGTGCTATAAAAGAATTCCCCCCCCCCCACCCCCCAAAAAAATTTAAATTAAAGGGGTAATTTCCAAGCCCCTTCTGGCATATTGGGTATATAGGGCTAGACTCATATTTTATAGACCAATCAGCACTTGGTTGCTGATGTAGTCAACTTTATGCTGGCTGCCTTTACTTCCCAGGACAGTACCTTGGACCTATTCAAAGCTGGGTTGACTGCAGGAGCTATGTGCTAGGTTTTTCCTGCAGCTTAACCTCTGCACTGCATGTCTTTTTCTTAATTATTTTGTAGTCACCATTGTTGTTCATTACTGAGCCTAAATATTCCAAATCTGTGAAATTTTCAATCTCTTTGTTGTTGATTTTTAATATGTGGTTGATGTGCTGTATTTACTGAGGAAATTTTTTTTAAGTTTTGGTTTTGGCAGAGATTTTAGTAAATAGATAAAAACAGCATAACTGATAATATTCTTCATCTGAAAGTCTATGGCTGGTGGCCAGCTCTTCCTACAACTTCTGTCTCATGCAATTTTAATCAGTTCTGATACCTATGATCTTCCATACATGATGCCAAACGGTCCAGCTGCTACAGAGACACATTATCAGTAAGTGTAAGCAAGTAAAATGGCTTGAGCTTCTGAGCATGAGAGGCCTAGCAGATGTCTAGTGTGTTATGGTGATCTGTTGCTTACATACACCAGAGCCCCTCTACCAATCCCTGTCTCCATAACTGGACCACTCTACAACCAATAACACATAGAATGGTGGTGAGACTTCATTTCATTCAAACCACCATGACATGCCTAACCCGCTCTTATTACAGGAAGACAACAATAAGACCACTATAGTCACACGCACAGTTTTTTCACAATTTCGGATCAATCCAAACCCAAAAACTGTTTGCAGTAATTTTTGGCACAGTAAAATATGTAATATTTGAAACTATAAATGGTGGTCCAAATGGACATTATGTGGAAAACTGGCTCTTCTACTAGATACACTTGGTCAGAATAGAAGGAGCAAGAAAAAAGAGGAAACACAAAAAGGGAAAGGGCAAAAGGAACTCACCAAGACACAGTAAAGGATCAAGCTGTCTGTCTCGAAGGGACGGAAGATTAAGCAACAGAGCTGGTGCAAACACCAGACCTTTGGCTACGAAAGTGGCACAAATAAACCAGACCACACATATAACCAGAGAATGTTGGCAGCTTTAGCTGCTGGCAGCAGGTTGAACGTATTTTTTTTTTTTTTTTTCTAAAACTGACAGGGAGTACATGGCACAAGTCACATCATTCATTAGCTTGTCAGGCAAATGATGTTGGACATGTTTGTACAGACTAACTTAAATTTGAGAAGTAAGAACATCAACAACAAGAGCAGCCCAGCTGTTTTGAAAGACGCGAGGGCTCAAAGACAACTTATCACAAACATTGGCAAGAGACAGTCCTCAATTTGTTGTCATTTAATGAAAAGAAGGAAAATGGAACATGTGACCACTGGGAAAATCTGTGGAAAAAAAGACAGAGGCATATGAAGACAGCTGAAAAGAATTTTGACAGCATTTTTGTCATGGCACTGAGGGGCGTCAATACATGAACTGATAAATGCTGTGTTGAAGATTGCAGATTGTGGTGAGGCATGATCACCCAGTCGCCAAGGCAACTGATAATGATGTTAATGGTGATGTGGTCAATATCATTTCCTCTCATCACCCCCCCCCCCCCCCCCCCCCCCCCCCCCCACGCCCAAATAAACATCCCAATGCAGATATGAACCTAAGACTTTCAGGCTGGCAGAGAAGATAAAAAAAACATAAAAGCAATACAAATCCTTTTCAAACTCGCAGGACTGTGCTTACCAACTTTCATCAGAGACTTGTTCAAGATGGGATCAAGTGATGGATCTAGTTTTTCCTGCACATTCTGCAGCAACACAGGCAAGCCAAACTGGATGGCTGACTCTAGTGTTCGCATGTAATCTGCCTGCTGCAAGTCGATTATCTTCAAACCCTGAATGGGAGACATATGAAATACATCACACAGAGTCATCAGTCTATCAATATGCAACTTAATCTTGTTTTTTTTCTTCATTATCATAACCACTATCATGATCTTTTTCTTCTTCTTCTTCTTCTTCTTCTTCTTCTTCTTTTTCTTTTTCTTTTTCTTTTTCTTTTTCTTTTTCTTTTTCTTCTTCTTCTTCTTCTTCTTCTTCTCATCCTCCTCCTTCTCCTTTTAATTCTCATTTTCCTTCTTCTTCTCCTCCTCCTTGTTCTTCTCCATCTTCTTCTTCTCCTCCTTCTTCTTCTTCTCTTCCTTCTCCTCTTCTTTTTCTTCTTCTTCTTCTTTTTCTTCTTTTTTTTTTTTTACTTTTTTTCTTCTTCTTCTTCTTCTTCTTCTTCTTCTTCTGCTTTTTCTTTCCCGTTTTTAATCCACCTGTAGGCCTGACCTTTAGGGTCAACTACCAGAAGCCACCTTTGGCCTCTTGTACAATAATTATATTCTCAGTGGACAATTCATCACTTGGGAGCCCATTTTCACTTTTCATTTTTTTTAAATTAAAGGACACAAAATGCTGCAAAAAAAATAATTACCTGTGATAATTCCATGTTTTTAATCCACTTGATGGCCTGACCTTGAGGGTCAACTACAAGAGGCCACCTTCGGCCCCTGGTTACAATAATTCCATTCTCTGTGGAAAATTCATCACTGGGGAGACCTTGAATATTCCAGTCTTGAACCTGTGTAGGCTTTGCCATGAAGCTACAGAAGTCAAAGTGCTGGGCACAGTTGATCCCCAGTTTAATCACCTGTGTTGATAAGATAAAACACACATTTGTGCAGTTACAAGAATGAATGAATAATGAATGAATCAAGAACTGACATCATTGCACTGAGGAATATCCACACATACTCCTTCCTCTCCATTCTATCTGCCTGCTCATTTCCCAAAACACCAGCATGCCCTGGAGGAAATATCCAAAGAATGCTAACTACTCGGGACCTCTAAAGTGATGCTTGCCACTCTGTATGAAGCACACCTATCTCCCCCTTTCTTAACATGCTATCTGAGTCAGTTACAATGACGGAGTGTGTGTGTGTGTAGCCTATTCTCAAGCCAGCGGAAGGCAGCAGTGACTGCCTTCACCTCAATTCTCAAACTAGATGCTGTGATATCATATGCCAGACTTAATCTCTTTCTAGGTCTTCCTCATGCCATCCTCCCAGATGTTCTACAGTAAAAAAAGTCTCATTTTCAAGCTGGTCTGGCTGCGTTCTCACTAGATAGCTGAACAGTTTAATTTGCTGTCTGTCAATATAATCCAGACATGGTCTTATCCTAACTTTCTCTCTAATGCTGGTATTTGTAACAATGTATGCTTTTGATTAATCAACACATAATGAGCATTGTCTTCTTGTGCTTATGGAGCTAATGATAAAAAGCATCAAGAGATCAGTGGAGAGTACTGTAAGGATCATCCTCGCTAATCACAAATCATAACAGTAGTCAAGCAAAGGACTTTTTTATACCAATTTCTTTAGACCAGTTGCCCCTGAACTGTAGATTTTGTTATCATGCCAACTGTCTTTACTTCCCATGACATTACCTAGAACACATTATATTAGTGGATGATTAAAAGAGTAAAAGAACAAACATAATTACTTCCTTCATCCATTTTTGCACCATTTCCTGTCGGTAGGAAGTCAGGAAAGGACCCAAGTATGACATGAAAGCTGCAGATATAAGCACATCTCCAATAAGGTGCTCCATTCGTCCTTCTAGTTCCTGAAATAAAAAAATTAAACCAACATGTAAATGAAAACAAAACAAACATTTGGAACACTTACTAGAAGAAGAAGTAAAAAAAAATAAGGACCATCTTCCTCTTTTAGTCCATGTTCTGTAACACTGGTAGTCATATCTATCCTCAACCTTCTGTCTCATGTACTTTCAACCTATTCTGACTCAGATGATCTTCATGAATGTTATCAAACTGTCCAGTATTTACTTTTTTGGTCTCTCTCTGCCTCTTTTCCCTTCCAACTTTTCCCCCGTTACAATGCAAACCAGTTTTCTTTTTCTCATGATGTGACCAAAGAATGTAGATTTTCTTCTTCTGAAGCTGGTTATGAGTTCTCTTTATGAGTCACTTTCTTTCAAGACATCTTCATTTCTCTTTCTTTCTGTTCAAGGTGTTCTCATCAGTCATTGAAAACACCATATACCCCCCCCCCCCCCCCCCCAGCGAACTGTCCGTAATTCACTTCCATTCAATACTACACCCTTGCATTCAGTGATTCAGTATGATCCGGAGAGCTCAGGCAGGTTCGGGGTGAAGGCAGTGGCTTTAGTCATTACAGAAGTCCACTGTGTGTGGAGTCACCTTTATTTTTATTCTGGGACATGTGAGAGTCAATGGGAATGAAGAACTTCTATTTGCTGGATCTGCCATCACTACCAACAGTTAACATAGAGATCATACTTTTATTTTTAATGCCCTTTGAGAAATAGGAAGAATGGAGGACTTTAAGGCAATGAATTCAAATCTCTCACCAGAATGATTGACTTGGGAGTTAAGATCAGCATAGAAAAAAAACAAGACACACACTAGGCACATCAAAGAACTTGTTAATCAATATAAAACTTATACTATTAGCTACCAGACGCTAGAGTTCATACTGAGGGGAGGATTAGAGCACATATGGATATGTCCAGAGTGCACTGATGATAACCCAACTGACTAATTAACTAATTAACTCTTTGTGTCCCAGGAATCGCATCACGTGCTAACTGGTTACAACACAGAGGCCTAATCGACACCTGAGAAGTAAAAATTTTTAATTTACCGCTGACTGGTAATAAAACTTGGACAGCTCAATTTCAATTTCCTTTTGAGTTCTTTGTGTCTGATATCAGGCATGCTCATTTATAAACGTGGATTAAAAGCCAAGAAAATATTGTATTTTTGTGAGGTTTACCGAGTTACTGAGTGTTTGTTTGAAAACAATATGGCCACCAAGCAGTTTTCTACATGCATGCCAACATGATTTACAGCTTTAGAAGCCTCAGATTTAAATTAAGCACATGTTCATAAAATTTATCTGAAGTTAGATTGATACAGTTGCAAAGTAGACTTGTTTAAGTAATTTATAGAGTCAAGCTTTGATGAGGGATAGGTCTAATGTGTACCTCAAACGAAGGGTACAATGATAGCAAAGTCAGCTGGCACAAATAAAATAAATACTAGTGAAAAGGCCATTTTCTTCTGTGTCAGGTAGTTCTAGTGCTATTCCATTTATTGTTTAGGAACATAGCTACAAAATTACAGGCCTATTGAGTGTTATAAAAACCTATATTTTGTGTGAAGATACTAAATTTTTTACAAAGTCAGTTTTCTTAATCAAATAATGAGGCTCTGTTGTGATGCTTCAAAAGATTCTCTGGAACATTATCTAATGCACAGATTGATTTTATATTTACCTTTTACATTACTAAATGGTTCATATTCATTTGTGATTCAGTTTGAATATATTTTAGTGAGTTTTACTTGAGTGGCATGGTGGTAAGTGGAGATTTTAAAATTTCATATTACTAATTTCTGTAAACATAATGTCTGTTTATTTACTAATATTTAATTATTGACGCAATTATTTGTTGTAGCAGTATTCTATTATTAATCCCCAACAATCCCTGGTCACTTTGATGTATAATATGCGTATGTTGCTTGGCAGTTAAATTAGTATTGTCTGTTTCAATGTGTTACACTTGTGAAATTAAATAATTGCATTACTAACCTATTGGCCTCTGATGCTAAACCTACTAGGACTCAAAGAGTTAACTAACTAACTAACTAAAATTTATACAGCTCTAAGTTGACAAAGACTAATATTTTTTAATAAAACTTACCTGTGATAAAATTATTTTGTTAATAAAAAGTTAGCTGTAATAATAATATTTTGTTATAGAACATAGCTGTTACAATCACATTTTGTAAATAAAAGCTTTTTCTGTGTGTCGATGAACATTTAATGAGATAAAAGCTGCTTTAGAAGGAAACATAAGAAACAAATTTATAAATAAATATTTAGGTTATGTTAACCCTGTTATTAATGAAGCCTTGTAGAATTCTGTAGGATGAATTACACAATAAGTATTTCAATAGTTTCATGGGAAACTTCTGGAAAAAGAAAACCATGTATAAAATAACTTTAAAATGTTATAAACATTCAAACTGGATAAACATAATTTGTCCAAAGTATCTAACCTTGACAGTCTGTTCCCAACGAATGCGTTCCGACGACAAGCCAGACACAAGTCTCTGAGCCCTGTCAAGCATCATCTCTGTGTGTTCTGCTTTTCTCTTGAGCTCTTCTTTCTGTGCTAGTTTCTCTTCATACAGGCGTTTCAGTTCAGCCATTTTGGCCTCCACCTACAAAGAAATCAAATCGGCCATGACTGCCTGTTATTTACTACTTTTGCAGTGTAGGCATGGGGGTCTTTGAGTCTGAGGAAGGTCATTGGTAGTGAGCAAACTTTAGATCTTTTCTCCAGGCTATGCTGACATGGTAAACAGGCAGACAGAATGGCTCGGTCTGCACCACTGGGTGGTAAATTGATACATGACAAGGCAGATGTGGTCAAGGCCCTTTGGGAACAAGCAACAGAATCAGTAGAAAAACACAATTATTATGGCCTGGAGAGAATGAGGCACCTGGGTGTAACCAGAGGGTCTGGCCGGCTTAATAAACTCAGAGGAAAGGCAAGATATAACCAGATTTTGACCGATACCATCAGTATTGGAACTCTGCACTGGCTGCTGAAAATGAGGATGGAGCATTCATGGGAATGTCCTGAGTGCTGTGATGTCAATTCTTAACTCAACCCAACTTAACTGAGTGAGGACTTAGGGCTGCATGGCTAATGCTGTTGCCATGGACTGTGCAGGTTGGGATTTCACTTTTGTCCCCCTGATAGAAAAATTCCACAATCTTACCGAGGATAGAACATGGGTCTGCCGCATGAGAGCCCAGCGTTCTCGACCATTCCGCCAGTCAATCCTCTATATATATGTTTCAAAGCCAGAAAAACATACAATATTCTTGGTGATGTAAGAAACTGAAGTTTTATAAAACTGGAAACAGGTGTTCATAAGTCTGAATCCCAGTAGGGTCATCATCATATCATATAACACAGCTGACTGACAGGTTCAACCCAACTATCAGTCAGTTTGAAAAGACATGATGTTTTGCACATGTGAGGCCTGTCCATTAACGAAATTCTGTATCAACATCTCCCCGTGCTGGTTCCAGAGCCCCATTTTGGGAGAAATAAGAACAGACCTTCTGCCCCTAAAAAGCATGTCATGAAAGGTTACTTTCCAGAGTTGTTTCCTTTCAAGTTGGAATGTATTTGTCTGAGAGATGAGGAACCAACCCGTCTACCTGGGTAAACCAGACCAGAGTGTCATAAAGGTGACATAACAGGTGAGACTGGGCCCTTTGAACAGGAAAGGGGATTTAACCTGGTCAAGTAGGAAACTCCAGAGATGATGGCTTCCCTTGACGGGCTTGTGGTCACAGTCTACACAGTTCACATGCAAAACTCAAGTTCTGGAACAAGACTAAAGTTCTGAAGTGGAAAAACAACCAGAACTGCAAATTTTGAATTAGAAATCAACATCATAGTACTTGGGACATCCCCATAAGCGCGTCGTCCACCATTTTCAGCAGCAAACAAAGAGTTTCAATTCCGATGGCCAAGTAACTGTCTGACTACATTTGTCTCGCCCTTCCCTTGAGTGCTGAGCGTTGGCCAGATCATCTGGCAACTCCTTGCAGCACCATTCTCCTCAGACAGTAATGATCAATTTGCGCTTCCGCACTGTTCACTTCTCCAAGAGGGCCCTCACAATATCTAGCTTGTCATGCATAAATTCACCACCAAATGGTGCAGAAACCAGAACTGAAACAATTTAAGTAAAAAAAAAAAAAAGATGCAGCAAAGAAACTGTTTTGGTGTGTTCATGCCAAACTAAGAAAGTAAAAAGATGCAGCAGAAGAACTGTTTTGGTGTGTTCATGCCAAACTGAGAAAGTAAAAAGATGCAGCAGAATAACTGTTTTGGTGTGTTCATGCCAAACTGAGAAAGTAAAAAGATGCAGCAGAATAACTGTTTTGGTGTGTTCATGCCAAACTGAGAAAGTAAAAAGATGCAGCAGAATAACTGTTTTGGTGTGTTAATGCCAAACTAAGAAAGTTAAAAGATGCAGCAGAAGAACTGTTTTGGTGTGTTAATGCCAAACTAAGAAAGTTAAAAGATGCAGCAGAAGAACTGTTTTGGTGTGTTCATGCCAAACTGAGAAAGTAAAAAGATGCAGCAGAGAAACTGTTTTGGTGTGTTAATCCCAAACTGAAAAAGTAAAAAGATGTAGCAGAGAAACTGTTTTATTGTGTTAATGCCAAACTGAGAAAGATCAGTTATAAACAAAAGTGAACAAATTAACATACTTCTGCTAGTTTAGCCTTGGCTTCAGCAAGTGCTGCCTGCTTTTCTCTTAAGATCGCCATGGCAGCGTTAACTCTTTGCCTCTTGGGCTCCACAATACGAAATATTCTGCCATACATTTCCATGGCTCGCACCCACATACAGAGGGACTTGGCTGCCGAGGACACCCTGCCGATAATTTCTGGGTGAAAGTCAGCTTGGGCTACATATCCTGAGATCTTCTTTAAGACACGGTCCGAGATGTTGTCTTTGTCAAAGTTCATCAGCTGCTTCAGGAAGTTTTGGTCACCTGAAAGTATGTATATTAATTTTTGATTACATTTATCAAAGCTATCATTCAGCTGCTGCCGCAGCCTTCATCTTCTATTACTTCTTCTTCTTCTACTTCTTCTTCTTCTTCTTCTTTTCTTCTTCTTCTTCTTCTTCTTCTTCTTCTTCTTCTTCTTCTTCTTCTTCTTCTTCTTCTTCTTCTTCTTCTTCTTCTTCTTCTTCTTCTTCTTCTTTTTCTTCTTCTTCTACTTCGTCTTCTTCTTCTTTTTCTTCTTCTTCTTCTTCTTGTTTTTCTTCTTCTTGTTCTTGTTCTTCTTGTTCTTCTTGTTATACTTTTTGTTCTTGTTCTTGAACTTATTTTCTTCTCCTTTTCTACTTCTTCTTCTTCTTTTCTTGTTTTTCTTTTTCTAGTTCTTGTTTTTGTCCTTTTTGTTCTTCTTTTGTTCTTGTTCTAGTTCTTCTTTTTCTTCTCCTTCTTTTTCTTTTTCTTTTTCTTCTTCTTCTTCTTCTTCTTCGTCTTCTTCTTCTTCTTTTTCTTCTGCTTCTTCTTCTTCTTCTTCTTCTTCTTCTTCTTCTTCTCCTCCATATTGGCCGGCTGTAAACTCAGGCAGAAAGTTCTGGTTGTTCATCCACTTCTGGACTTTAATCTTGCTCCAGAACTTGAGTTTTGCATGCTCATCTGTTTAACAGATTTGGCGTATTTGTATGCAGATTGTTGGTTCCTTGCCTCTTAGTCAGATGCATTAAAAGCCCTGATTAGTTGACTCATACGACATGCTTGTTAGGGAGGCAGTGGGTCCATTTTTTTCCCCTTACAATGGGGCCCTAAAACTCACGTAAGAAATAATTATGAACATTTAGCAGATTACCAGGGCCAAATGAAGAGTTGATGAGGCCCTTAGCTAAATAAAGCCCTGAGACCCCCTACTGTTTTAAATGACACCAGCTAATCTTTAAAATACTTTAAAATATATCATCACCATCATCATATTGCATCTCCTTTGCAGAACACCACTATTATCATAGTCTGCCTGAAAAACAAAAAAATTGGTCTCAACAGCTCTCCCGCCTTGTATACTTTCATATCCAAGGAGCCACTTATATTCTATGTCCATCTTCATGTTGGTCAGCCCATCCTTTCTGGTACCTTCTGCTATTATTGTTTCCAATCCGCCATGGCACTTGATATGGCCACAAATATTTCAGCATCTGAGACAGGATGCTGTTTATTAGCCAAATTTCCTTGATGTTCAGATCTTTTAGAATGTCAAAAAAAAAAAAAAAAACTTCACCTTTTAAATATATGGATTCTGGAGATATATTGTTTAATTTTAAATTAAAAAAAAAATAATTTAAAAAACAAAACAAAAAACAATTACCTGCATGGTCAATGGAACTATTTATGGCTGTTGTTATACTGAGCTATACGGATGTATGGGAATCACAGACCAAGGTGATAAGAAAAGTGACTAGTAAGGCCAGACAGAGTTAGGAAACATCTTCCACAAAATATGCATCTGGTTTAGGGTGATTGTTGCCACCACAATAAGTCTTCTTCATCTTCTTTTGTCTTTTTTTTTCCAGCTGCTTTAAGTCCTAGTCGTTTGTCCGTTTGGACTCTGGCTTTGTGCCAGAGCCTGAGTTTTGCGTGTACATCCATTTTACTGGCCTACTTGTGTGCAGCTAGTTGTTCCTTGCCGCTCAGGCAGATGAACTGCGACCTCAAATGAAGTCCCCAGTTAGTCAACTCCTACGACATGCTTGCTTGGGATGCAGTGGGTAGGTTCTTGTATTCCCCACAATGGGACCCCATAACCCACAAATGGCCAGTTAAATCTGAGATGTCTGATAATTTATACCTTTCATAAGGAGAGAACCGACATAGGGAAACATTAAATGATGTTTAAGATTATGAGAAAAGAGTCAATCACACATTATGCATTGCTTGGAACTAAATGTTAAATCTGCAGATGTGTGGAGAACAGTATGCTCTTTTCAGAGCAGCAATCACTACTTCAGAGGCCACCACTTTTTGGATATTTTCTTCAGGGTATGCAGGCATGTTAGGAAATGAACAGGCAGATAGACTGGGTGGTGGGGGATTTTCTTCAGGGTATGCAGGTGTGTTAGGAAATGAACAGGCAGATAGACTGGGTGGTGACTTGATGCATTACAAACTAAATGTGGGCAGGGCCCTTTATAAGCAGGAGAACAATGTTGAAGCCTGAATAGACAATTCAGGTGTGTAGCTGGCAGTAACCATAGGATCTGGCTGACATTTTACACTCAGCTGAAAGGTGAGATGTACAAATAATCAAACTGTCACTGGCACTTTCAGAGTTAGAACTCTTTGCTGGCTGGTAAAGATGAGGATAAAGCATGTATAAAAATGTCTTGAGTGCTGTGCTGCCAGTTCTTGGCTCAGCCCTACTCAACTCATCTTGATGCAAAAGTGTATCAACAGTGTACCAAAACTGTATTGGATTAATGTCAAAAGGGATTGAATTAAAAGGAGTTTTGAAAGGTTATCAAATGAGTACACAAATAACAAACAGGAGAAGCAGCAAGAAAAGGTCTTGATTTTATAAATGTCTTGATTTAAAAAAAAAAAAAAAAAACCATAAAATGCAAGTTCAACACAAAAATCTGTGAAGCAAATTGTCACTACTACAGAGACATTGTGAAACTCACCTAGCTGCTTTTTTGACTCTGCCCATGTGGGTTCACATCCCTTCAAAATCATGACAGCCTCCATCACTCTCTCTACCAGGACTGGCGGTCGACCATATGATTTGATCTCTGTCATGTCCTTCTTGTTCAGGGACTCCAAGGCCTGAAGATGTCAATCTCAAAATTACAGGTTCTTTATGCAAGGGCATTAACACAAAGAAGACATTGGCAGGAGGAACGGGGAGAAAAAAGGGGGGGGGGGAGGGGGGGGAAGGTTATCTTCTCCTTGCAAATTTTCAAAGGAAGAAATGGGGAGGGGGTTTAGGGGCTAAAACCTTGTTTGAACATGAAATAGTAGCACTACATATTATGATTATTATTATGTGATGAGTGGCAAATAAATACAATAATATATCAGAAATAACATGAAATGTACACATACTTAGAATGTGTACTTTTAGTACTTATCGTACATAAAGACAGAATCTGCACATGATTAGAGGGCCTCTTAGCCATCTTGGAATGTGTCTATAGGGAGAACATTGGTGGCTCAGTCCACCCCTAAAATATTATTGGAGATAGCTGGACCAAGGCACGCCAAGTTTTCCAGCACCCTCGTTGTGTATATACTAGATTAATAACAATTGAAATGAATTCTTCTCCCCAACATTCACTAGCTGTAAACTCTAGCAGAAAGTTCTACTTGTTCATCCACTTCTGAGATAATGATTTGTTCCAGACTTTGAATTGAATTTTTCATGCACACAAACAGGACAAGAACAAGGACAAGATCTGAGATTGATGATTGTTTCATGGTGAAAGCTGAAGTCAAGAGGATCAAATTCATCGCACTGGTTGTATCCAATATGGCTCAGACTCTCTCTCTCCACAGAATGGCTAGCCACCTGCTGAGAGCATCACAAAAAGCAAGAACTCCATAGCTCCAGGGAGCGTGCAAAGGAACTGCTTAAATCAGTATCATTCTCTATGCATGAGAGAATGGGAATCTATATTACCAACACTGCTACCCCATGCTATGTATGTGTGTATGCAATGAATACTGTATGAGGTCTAGCCTCAGTAAGGCATTGTGAAGAGAGACAAAGTAGATAGCCATCTACATGGTGTGTCCCATTTCTTTAGTTCCAGGTGGATGTCCTGATTGTCAAGCCTGATCTTGAAGAGTCAACATCCTGTACGTGTGAATCAGTGGTGGCTGATCGAGCATATGGAGGAAACTATTCTTCTACTTCTTTGCATTTGCCAGCTGTAAACTCCAGTGGAAAAGTTCTGGTTGTTCGTCCACTCCTGGACTCTAGTCCTGTTCCAGAAACTGAGTGTTGCATGTACATCCGTTTCACAGGTCTGTATTATTTGCATGTAGACTATTGGTTCCTTGTCTCTCAGGCAGATGTACTCTTGACTTCGAAAGAAACTATAACATCAGCTAAGTTGCATGTCCAGCCATTCAATAAAAAAAAATCTTTCAAGTTGTCCAGTGATTTTATGTGTTTCATGCTTAAAAACCAAAAAAGTTTCGGTCTTTCTATTCATTACAATATTATTGAGTAACTGAATTCCTAGTTTTGGAGCCCATTCAATTTATAATAAATGTGTTTGTCAGTGAACACAATCATTAGTTTAAGATAATATATCTAAACTTTACCCCAAGGGATCTTTTGTCAGCAGTCATGGAAACCTTCTCCTTTAACCAGTAAGGCTGAGAAGTTGAGTTGAGTTGATTCAAGAACCGACATCACAGCACTCGAGGTTTTCCCATAAGCGCTCTGTCCCCATCTTCAGCAGCCAGCAAAGAGTTACTAATGGTGCCAGTAGCATTCTGATTAATTGTCTGTCTTGCCTTTCCTCTGAGCCTCCATCATCTGCCACCTCTCGTTTCTCCCCGCTGCATCAATCTCACCAGACTGTGGTGATCTATCTGCTCCTCCGAACTGTACACGCTCTCCCACAAGGCACTAACCATGTCTGCCTTATCATGCATCAGTATTTCACCAAGTTGAGCTGGGAAGTATAATATTTTAGGGAAAGATTCCCAGACTGTGGTTTCCTGGGTATACTGTTTGCTTGTGAGGTCTGTCTTTTGAAGCCTCTTTGGCTTCTGCTTGTGAAGTCCCCCTCTCAGCAGCAGTATTTTCTGTGTCCATCAGTGTGTGCAGAGGGAACAGTCTATTCTTTGACTCTGTAGATATGGCATAGAGGTTTCATGTCCACAAGGAAACTGACCTGTGACATATCCCCCAATAAAACATATGATTTTAAAAAAGGAGGAAAAAAAGAATATTTCCAAGCAGTGTTAAAAAGAGCTTGGAGAAAAATATCCACAGTACA